GATCAATCTTGATTTGGGTAATTTTGAGGTTCATTTTGATTTGAGCCATGTTGAGGTTTATCTTGATTTGGGTCATTTTGAGATTGATCTTGGTTTGGGCCTTGTTGAGGTTGACCTTGATTTGGGCCATTTGGAGAATGATCTTTGAGTCATTTAGAGATTGATCTTGGTTTGGGCCATTTAGAGAATGATCTTTGTTTGAGTGTTTTTGAGATTGATCTTGGTTTGAGTCTTGTTGAAGTTGATCTTGATTTGGGTCATTTTGAGGTTGATCTTTATTTGTGCCATCTTGAGATTGATCTTGATTTGGGCCATTTCATTCACTTTAAGGGAAAATGTCTAAATCTTTTTTCTTTTCTTTTTTTTTTACTTCATCTCCTCAAACACTGAATGCCTGCTTTCTGTTTATCTGTTCTTGATGAGCTTTTGCCAGGAGTACTTTAATGACTTAATTAGATTACAATTAAAATCTAATTATACTTGCCTGAAGCATTGAGAGAATGTTACTTTTTCCTTTTGTGTTTTGAAAATGTGATTTCAGTGCCTTCATGGATTTGCAAATGTCCTGCATGACTCAATGAAGTGGTGGAATATTTGTGTGTGAACAAAACATAATGTAGACAATATTTTTAAATATATTTTTTATACATTTGTATTATTATGTAATTATAAATATTTCTATTATATAATCCACTCCACAGTTATAGGCACCCCTGGTAAAGATGAGTAAAAAAGGTTATGAGAAATTCCCCTTTCGATGAATTAGTTTAATCTCGCATTGAAGTAATGAGAAAAATCCAACCTTTAATTGAAGTAAATTTATTTTTGAGAAAAATAAACCCTCATCAAGAAATAGTCTTTTCCTGTAGCGCTTTATAGGGTTGGAGAATACAGGGAATATGAGACCAGTCCTCTTTACAGAATCTTTCCAGATCTTCCAGGGTCCTAGGCCCTCTCTTGTGCACTCTCCTCGTTAGGTCACCCCACTGGTTTTCTATGGGGTTTAAATCAGTGGAGTGAGTTGGCAGATGGGTCATGGCAGAAGCTTGTTTTTGTGCTCAGTAAACTATTTTTGAGTTGATATGGACATACGTTTTAATCATTGTCCTCTGAAAGATCTGATGATGACCCAATTTTGTTTCTTGGCATAGGCAGACAGACACCATGTACCCTAACAAGGTTCCCAGGGCCTCTGGAGGAAAAATAGCCCCACAACATCACAGACGTCCCACCATACTTAACAGTGGGTATGAGGTTATTTTCAGTGTCTTTTCAGTCATACTTCTTTGTACGCCAAACCCACTTTGAGTGTCTGTTGCTTAAAAGCTTAATTTTTGTTTCATCTGACCACAGAACACGATCCCAGTCAAAGTTCCAGTAGCATTTAGCAAGGTGCTTAGGTTTGTGGTTAGATGACAGGAAAGGCTTTTTCCTGGCATGCCTGTTCAATTATTCTGTTGGCATGGAGGTCTGATGGTAGTTTTGGAGACTTGACTCCAAGATGCTACTTTGTCTGTAACTCTCCAACAGTCATCCTCGGGGATTTTCTGCCTCTCTTACCTCCTCCTTGCTGTGCATGGTGGCAAAACAATCTTGGGTCTTCGTCCAGGCAAGCTTGTCACAATTCCAATTAACTTTATAATTACAGCCCTAACTATATATAGTGAGAGTAATGAGAAAACGAGTTTCAAGTGAGCAGTCAGCCAATCAAACTTAGGAGAGAGTGACCTCTGCAGGTGGGGAGGGGAATCTCCAGCTAAGAATGTGACACTTGGACATTTAAATGATTATTTTAGGCTTTACAGGGTGACTCGCTGTGATGCACACATTCCTTATTTTAGTGTGTCCTTTTTTCTCAATACTCAGCAACAATAACAAAAAATATAACACAGTGTTGCTATAATTCATTATTTTACTATTTATTTACATATTCAGATAATAAAAAATGAAAATACATGTTGAAAACTACACTAAATCGAGTGATAGTTTAAGATTGATTTTATTTAATTTACCTCTCTCCCTTTTTCTCTCTGCTTGCCTGTTTTACTTTTTGAATACTGAAAAAGCATACATTAAACATTGTTTGGATTATAAGTTTCAGAATGTAATAAGCCTGGGATGAAGGCAAAATTGTGATAGATTTGTACTCAACTGAGCATTAATACTTTTACTTCTACTCAAGTATGATTGAGATGAAAAGTAATCTACTTTTATGAAGGATATTTACTCATTTAGTTTAATTCCCTTTTGAGTCACATTTCATTCTGTTGCTTTGGTGACGATGTATGAACTACTCTGACTTTGGAGCTTTAGCATTTATTTTAGACCAAAAGGATCCCAGAAAGAGAACAGAGCTGTGCAGACTTCAGTTCTAATGCCGGATGTACTAAGAAGTTCCACTGCAGTTTTATAAATTACTCCGTAGTTCAGTAGTGTTTTCACCCACTATGTTTCTACTTCTACCCAAGGTTTTTTTTAAAAGAAAGGTACTTTTACTGAGCTTGAGGCCATTTATAGCCATCTGACTCTCTCAGCATGGGGCTTAACCCTTTTTCACAGTAGCCATAAAATGTAATTGAAGCCTGTTTTGGAGGTCCTTCAGTTCAGCTTTGAATTTGTAATATTTTTAATTAAATTAGATTGTTTTTAAATGTTTTGCTTAATTTTCTGTAATATTTTGGATTAATATATTTGATTATATTAATAAGCGAAAAGTATCCAATGTGTTGATTTTTTCATTCTGCTGACAGAATAGCCACTTGGAGTCCTGCAGAAAAGGGGTTAAAAGGCCACCACAGCTCTTAAAGAGGGATATTGTCCTTGCTCCCCATGCAGCACACACTGGGGAAATGTGCCGATATTGTATTGTGTGGTTTGTAGTGCTGAGATTGTGGCAGTTTCCATATTCCTCTAAGTGAGGGGGCCGGGGTGGGGGGTGGTTGGGTTATATGTGTGTGCTAATAAGAATTACATTCTTAAAAATAGAGGTGCCAATAAAGGTTCTTTGGAGCAATGCCCGAGGGCCACTTTTGGAACCATGATTCTTTACCCTCTTTTGGAGGCCTAGCATCCAAAGTCCAGAGCTGACTGCATCCTGCCTATGTCCGCTGACAGATCCTGGCTATTTAAGAGGTTAAAGACCCATATCTGTAACTATGATGTTTGAGTCTGAAGTTTAATGATAATATACTGTAAAGGGTCTATGAAGACCAAAACATCTGAGAACCATTTAGGAACCCTTATTTTAAGAGTACTGTAAACCAAAGTAAAGCCCCACTAATCTCAAGATCACAGGCCAAAGCCTTACAATAAACAGAATGAGATTTTTGAGAGAGAGTTCTAATGATGTTTTACTGTGCTTTAGTATTTCGATGAAACATTTGCTGAGCAAACGTATTAATGGACTACTCCAATAATAAACAACAACAATAATGAACAACCAACTTTATAAGTAGTTTTTAAACATTAAGAGCTATTTAGGCATAATAAAATACTAAAACGTTTATCATAAATTTGTAAGGCGAATAATTAGGACAACAATTAATGATTGAGGCAACAGTAAATGTTTTTATTTCTTTGAACATTAAAGTAGCTAATGACTTTTTTTTTAAATATCACACAACTTAATGCAGTTTGTTAGTAACGCAGTTTGTTTGCACGGCTTTAACACAATTATTACCTGAACAGATCTAAATTGGATAACTGTTTGTTTACTGAGTGAAATGAAATTAAATCAAATCTCTATACAAATGCTAGAATTAGCAAATAAACAAATAACACATCCAGTCTCATTTTTATTGCTCAGAAAGAAGGTCCAGCTCGATGTTTAGGTCTCAAATGCAACATCAACATTACACTGATGAAGATAAGGTGACAAGAGTAGATAATTCACTCACATCCTCAGAAGACACGTCCTTCACCAAATTTTGACTGAATTCTCTTTGAATTCTCTTTTCTATGCACTCACAATCATCAGATTCATTTGCTTGGGGTAGGGGTCCAAAACACAATGCATGACAAAAAATGTGCCTCAGCACATTGTGTACTATTAAAAATTTCCACCAGACAGGTCTCCAAATCCCCAGAATTTACAGTCGCTTGCAAAAGTTTGAACACCCCCAAGCAAATTACATTTGATGAAAATAAGTTAACACAACCTCTACTAATGTCAAATATGATATTTTCTGCCAATTTTAGTGAACAATTTCTGTTTACTCATATTAACATAATATAAAAAATGAAAAACAAAATATAAAAGACCACATTGTATGTTTTATTTAGTTTATAATATGTTAAATTCAGCAGATGAACAGTCACTGTGTATTAAAATGTGCAGAAGTGTATTCTCTGCAGAGGATGTATAATTTATTTTCACTTAGAAAATCAACAAAACGTAATTTGACCACAGGCACCAAAATGTTTGCATATAACTGTACATCTTTCATTCATTCGTTCATTCTTTCATTCATGCATTTATTTATTTATTTATTCATTCATGCACTCATCTAAGTGAACAGTCAGACTGAAAAACAAATAGAGCTAACAAATAAAAGCCTTCATCTCTTTTGTCAGTGGCTGGTTTGACTGTATGTTTGCTTGAGTAAGGAACCCTGCAGAACTCCTTGTATCGAACAGAACTCCTCCTACTCCACATGCAGGCTAATTAATGGATCTTAGAGTGGGAAACTCCCACTGCACTCCCAAGGAGTCGAGGAGCAAGAGCCGAACTTTCACCTGGAGACACCGGCCAGCGTCTGATAGCATTCACTGACTTACAGCACAGTGATATGCAGAATTAGTGCGAATTAGCCATTTTTAGCCCACGCCTTTTTGGTCTGTTGCTGCTGGAAACTTCCTAACGATCAACTCTGGATATCTGTTTTTTTTTTTTGTTTTTTTTTATTATTTTAGAATGACCAGCATCCCTCTTGAGCCTGGAATGAAGTAGCCTGACAGCTTCCTTTCCTTTCCATCCTTTGAAAGTTGAGAAAAATCTCATAATGACGTCCGTGGAGGTCCTCAGAGTTTGTGAGGTGGTTCATGAGAGCAGGAACTCCTCTGACCACATCCCACAGAAGCCGCTCACACCTTTCAGCATCGCAGACATCCTCAGCAAGCCTTCTGTCCAGAAAAGCACCTGCAGGAGGATCAGCTGGAGCCTGAGGGTGCGAGGCTGGAGCACAGGAGAGCAGGAACGTTCTGCCCTCAGCGCCCTGCAGGAGCTCACCAACAACACCTTCAGAGCCATGGAGCTGAGCACAGCGCAGGCAGCAGGAGGTGAGGTTTACTCAGGGTTTAACCATGATGATGAAGAATTTAAACAGGTCAAACCTCCGAGAAGAAGCAGGGAAGATTACAAGAAGAAGATGAAAAGGCCTTAGATTCAACTGTATTTATGGCTTTAATTATTATTTAATTTAAAATAAGTTAGAATGTAGTAGATTTGAGTAAATCGAATTCCTGACTTAAAATTAACCCTAACTGTAACTTCAAACCAAAACGAAATCTTGATTTTAAACCTAATTTGAAGCACATTGTTGTAGATCATCAACAGAGTTTCACCAGATCATAATTTTAACATAATCATTTAATGCAATAATACTTTAGGAATCTGTAGATCTGTAAATCTATAAGGGAATCAAAATAAAATGTGACTAGAAGACAAAGAAAAAGAAGAAGGAGAAAAAGAAGAGCAACAACAACAAGTAGAAGAGTGATAAACAAAGCTGATTGTGTCTACACTGTAAAAATGGTTCTTCAAGGGTTCTTGAGTAAAGGTAACAGTAATTTACTACTACAAAAAGGTTCCACAAAGAGTTCTTTGAGCAATGCCATACAAGAACCAGTTTTAGTTCCCTAAAGAACCATGCTTGAAGAGATTTAAAGAGATTTGTGAGTGTGATGAACCTTTTAAAGGTTTAAAGAACCTTCACGCAATGTACAAGTCCTATATCAATTTATGGGTTCTTTCTAGAACCTCTAAGTAATGTGGAGGTTCTTTTAACTTCAGAAAGGATCTTCACACTTACACATCTCATTTACAAAAATCGTTCTTTAAAAAAACATCCACCAAATGTTCTTTAACGAACCAAAAGGGGTTCTTCAAGTAAGATGTGCATCAAACCCTTTTTTGGCACATTTCTTTTGGAGAGTGTATATAGAACTGTGACAGATTGAAGAACCATTTGAATGCATAAATCGATCTTTGCATTGTTGAATGGATATTCATTGCTGTACATGGTTCTTTGAAGATGTTTTGTAAAATGGTTATATATATATATATATATATATATATATATATATATATATATATAGCACCAAAAAGAGAGGTTTGCTGTTGTTAGAAGCCATAGAACCTTTTCTGGTACTATATAGAACACTTTATATGCCTAAACAATGTATTAGCGCTGAAGAGAACTATGCTACTACTAAAAATGAAGAAAGAAGACAAAAAGGAAAGGCTCAATAATAATATTACTACTAACAGTAACAACACATCAGTAAAGATGAAGAGGCTACAAATAATAATAAGATACCATGAATACTAAGAATAAAGTATGTTCTCCAAAAAATATAACAACAAATATGAAAAACAGAGGCGTTACCTTTCTAAAACACTCAAATTGATCTGATTTTTTTTTTCCACAGACAGAAATGAGCTCGCTCGATTTGCTCAGAGGAGCCACTCAAAAAAGCGTAGAAAGGCCAGGACTGCATTCACCAACCACCAGCTCTGTGAATTAGAGAAGCGCTTCTTGTATCAGAGATATCTGTCTCCTGCGGACAGAGACCAGATAGCTCAGCGGCTGGGCCTGACCAACGCGCAGGTCATCACCTGGTTTCAGAACCGCCGAGCCAAATTAAAGCGGGACTTGGACGAAATGAAAGCGGACGTGGAGTCTGCCAAAGCCCTGGGAAGTGAGGCCACCCTGGCTGACCTACAGAGGAGTGGAGATGGGACTGGGGGCCCCTCGAGGCCAGAGGCCCCCTCTCAGCTGGACCACAAGCAGGAATTGGTGCACAAATTGCAGCGGTCCCCCGCGTCGTCCCCCTCAGACCACACAAGTCAATACAGCTCTGAAGAAGAAGAGGATGTAGAGATAGACGTGGATGATTAACAGACAGAAAAAAAATGAGAGTAAAGACTTTTTTCCCCTTCCCAATTTTCTAAAGTCCTAGTTTCCCTTGTTAATGTAGACCCATTTCCAACACTCAGTAAATTCATGCCTATTGGCTGGAATAGCGTCTTTGATTTATAATGCTTTTACTTATCATTAAAAGGACACTTAATTTTATAGGTTTTATGAATATTTATGCGAGATGGATTTTCCCTGTTTGTACAATCCAGAGTTTAATAGCATTTTTTACTGTTGTTCACAGGCCTATAGAACCAGTTTCATTGTTTAAATGCTCTGTTTGTAGGTCAAATGACTGAAATAAAAATGAAAAAATAAATAAAAATAGTTCTGAAAATTTGTCTGTTATGCTTATTGTTACTCAACTGAAAACACAAGGTATTGCAAATGGTAATGTTATAGTAATACTTTAGTCATTTCTACAGGACACTTATACGAATCTTATAAGAAGTACACAAGCATTATAGATTACTATAAGAGAGTACTACACAAATACTATAGTTTACTACAGGTACACAGTCATTATAGATTACTATAAGAGAGTACTATAGGAATATTATAGTTTACTACAGGTACACAATCATTGTACAATACTATAAGAGTACTATAGGAATATTATAGTTTACTATAGGTACACAATCATTATAAAATACTATAAGAGAGTACTTTAGTAATGCTATAGTTTAATACAGGTACACAATCGTTATAGATTACTATAAGAGAGTAGTACAGGAATACTATAGTACAGACACACAAACATTATATATTACTGTAAGAGAGTACTATAGGAATAATGTAGTTTACTACAGGCACATAAGCATTATAGATTACTAAAAGACAGAAGTACAGGTACACTTTACCAAAGATACACAGTCATTCACAATATTATAGATTATTAAAAGACAGTGCTACAGGAATGCTATAAATGCTGATATGTATTATTTATAGGGGTTATTTATAGTGCACAAGCAATATATAATACTATTAGGCAGTACAGCACGAATACTGTGATTTGCTACAGGTGCACAAGCATTACTATAGATTACAATGAGAGAGTATTAAAGGAATACTAGTTTACTACAGGTGTGTAAGCATTATAGATTAGGGAGATATAGGGACATATAGGGGAGAATTATAAATAAAGAGTTACACATACATAGTATCTCACACTGTTATAAATAAAGGTTCAGTGCAGGTACATTTTTCATTCATCAAGGTGCAAACAATGTAAATGTTCCCTCAAAGGTACAACAGTGGTTTTAAGGTCCAATTGTGTACCTAAATGAGTTTTTCCAGGTGAAAAGTACATATTTGTACATGTTCATAACTTAATGTTTAAAAACAGAACAATAAAATAAAAGCCTGGAGACGAGACGGGGTGTGTGGAGTCAGTACAACTTAGAAAACATCATTTCAGTGGATTATGGGACAGTTATGCTCCCTGACTAAAGGTACTGAGATGGACCCTTGAGGGTACCACCCCAGTGACAAGAGGGGTACTGCCCCAGTGATAATTGGGAGTGTATATTATTCTTATTATTAGACACGAGTGTGTCGTCATATAGCTGTAAAGTACTGTAATAAGAGTCTTTATTAGGACGATCTGTGTCTTGTTTTTGTTGCTTATTTGGGTTTGTTTTCCTTCATTCAGCTGGCAGCCCTGTTTAAATCTGGACGGCTGCCCTTTCCTTCTTCAATAGCAGTTAACTAACCGCGTGGGTCCGACAACTTTTTAGCGAGCGCTAACTGCTCCACTCTTTCTGTTTTCTTTTCTTTTTTATTCGTTTTAGCCCCATTCTTGCTATTGTTTTTGCTCCGTTTGAAAGGAGCAGCAGCCCCTCGACTCGCTTTTCGCCTTTTCACTCTCTACAGGCGTGTCTTGGCTTATTGACCCGACAACGTGTGTTTGCCCATTTGGACCGAAATTTATGTGAGAAACAGCAATCTGGGGCCGCGCGGAGAAAAGAGGGAGAGAAAAGAGAAAGAGAGCGAGGGGAGAAAGAAAGAAAGCCACATAAAACCTCAGAGTTTTGGTCCAGTTTGTGTCTTTCTCTCCCTCTCTGTTGTCCTTTGTGTTCTCCGGTTGGGGCCGTAACGCTGGAGCGTAAAGCATGAAGGCGCGAGGACAAACGAGCCGTCATTTGCGCGTGATGGAGGCCGCTCGGCGTCCCGCGGCTCGCCATACTGAGACAAGGACGAGGCCATATGGTTCTCCTCCTCTGACACTTCCTCACAGCTTCAGACAGTTTGATGGATGGAGTTCAGCCGCCCCTTTTTAGAGCGTTTAAACCCCTCTGGGACGAAAGCCACAGTGCGCCTCTCTCTCTCTCTCTCTCTCTCTCTCTCTCTCTCTCTCTCTCTCTCTCTCTCTCTCTCTCCCTCTCCCTCTCTCTCTCTATCTATCTATCTATATATCTTTCTATCTGTTTCTCTCTCTGTTCATCTATTCTCTCTCTCCCCTCTCTCTTTATCCCTCTCTGTTTATCTCTCTCCCCGACCTCTCTCTCTCTCTCTCTCTCTCTCTCTGTCTCTCTCTCTCTCTCTATCTATATATCTGTTTCTCTCCCTCTGTTTCTCTTTCTGTCTCTCTCTCTCTATATCTATCTATATATATTTCTGTTTCTCTCTCTCTCTGTTCATCTATTCTCTCTCTCTCCCCTCTTTCTTATTTCTCTCTCTGTTTATCTCTCTCTCTCTCTCTCTCTCTCTCTCTCTCTCTCTCCTCTCGCGAGGGCATCTGTACTCATGAATGTCGGCTCGCTCTCTTTTCTCTTTTCTTTTTCTCTTTTCTGCCGTTTTGAACAAGTCAATGAATCACAATGAAACTCGGTCTCTTTTCTGAGACCACTCGCCTTTCTTTCTTCTCCTCTTTGACGCGACGTTAAATGATATGTTTAACTTTTGTGTGAGGACTTTTATTTTGGGGGGCGAAGAAAGGCTCCTTATTTAGTGTGTTTTTCATGTTAAGTAGGCGAGGGCAGTCTAAAGACTTCAGACGGCGGATCTGGTGCTAAAGGGACTCTTTTGTTGATTTAAAAAACACATCATGATGGGAGAAAGAGCATCTGAGTCAGGAAAAAAAGAAAAGAACCCACTGAGGTAATAAGGCAGTTTAACCCCACGTCTGTTTAAAGGAAAATTGATGACATAATCAAAAGAGAACTGAAAGCTGAGGCTAACAATACAATCCAAGAAAAATCAGACTGCATTGTAAATAAATAATCATTTTAATGAAACTGGAATCTTAAAATTTCAAATTCATTTAACATCAAAGTTATCAGAACAACAAAAGTGCATAACATGCGCTAAACTCAATATTTGAATTTTTAAGAAAATTAAAAACTTAAATTTTCTATAGTGTAACTTGGATTTAACTTGGATTTAGTTTTTGTTTATTTTTATTATATTGGCCTCCCAATTCGACATCACCTCTTCTATTTCGTCTTAATAATTCTTTTTCTTTGTAAAATTTCTGAAGGCTACACTATTAAAAAAAGCTAAATATTTAAACTTATAAATGTAAGTAAACTGGCTGTTCATCAAGCATCAAACAGTAAGTTAATGAAATACTGTGTGTTCATTTCTGTTAGCTCAGTATGTGAAATCCAGTAAAATAAAATAAAAAAAAAGTTTACTTACCTTTTTAAGTTAAAAGTCCAAAATCAGTTTTTACAGTGTATATTTCAGTTTTAAAGCTTTGCACTGTTCCAGAAATCGAATACACTTTCATGCTCTTATTTTGACAAATATCACACTTCTGAGGCTCTGAACAGCACTATAAAGCAAATCTGCCTTCCACCTTATTATCCTTCCTTTATCCATTCTTTTTCATTTATTCACATTTATCCTATAAAGTGTTATTAATTTTCAATACCTTACTGTTCATATAGTTTTCAAGAAGGTACATGTATAGTAAGGCTTAAAACTGTGGCTGTGTTTTGTTTGTGTACAGCATGCGTGATGACACAATTCAGTGCTGGGTAGGCTAATCACAGGCTGAGTTATTACACTCATTAAGATAATGAAATTTGATTTGTTCGCTGCGAGTGCTGTTATTATATAATGGCCAATTAAAACATTACGCTTTCCACCAAGCTCTGCCTTATTTTCTCAGCTCTCCAATCACTGCTCAGAAACCATTGCTATCCACCATTGCCTCGAGCCCTCGGTTTGTCATCTAGTTGCTGTTAAAAGTTGTAACTGCGGATGTTTTGAAAAACAAAAAAGTCATCATCAGTTTCTGATGAATTTGGTACTTACAGTGTTCTTTTAATAAAAGGTTTTATAGGCTTTGTGAAAAAGTCACAAAAGCCAAAACATGGTGAAGGACGTGTCTTCTGGAGTGAATCATCTAGAATGTTGATTTTGCATTTATACTCATTCATACTCATTTTTCCCTCCTGACTCAGTGATGCTACTTCTTTCAATAGCTTTTATGAGGAGCCACCTGCATAGACTTGAAGAAGATGCAAATATGCTTCTGAAATTACTTTAATATTGAATATAAATGCATACAATGGCTTGATCTGTACTATATATATATATATATATATATATATATATATATATATATATATATATATCGCTGCTGTTGGAACGAAACCGCATATCTCCAAAATGACAACTTTACAGGAGAAGGAAAAAACATACTTTACTTTTAAAGTCAATGTAACCCAGACTTTTTTCCAAGTAATTTTGGGCCATTTCTTTTGGTTCAATAATCACACACAATGTAAAGAGCAAAAGATATTTTCAAGATTTTCAAATTATTGTTATTATTATTATTATTATTATTATTAGTAGTAGTAGTAGTAGTAGTAGTAGTTAGAAAAACATATATTCGGATGTGTGTATGGTGTACAGACATATGCAAATGTTTAGTGCCCCTGATCAAATGACGTTTTGTTGATTTTCTAAGTGAAAATAAGTTACACATGCTCTACAGACACACTCTTCTGCCCATTTTAATGCACAGTTACTGTTTATTTGCTGAATTTAACATATTGAGGAGCAATATGTCAAAATAAAACATAAAATATGACAAAATAAAACAGTTCTGGCTCATTTTGTTTATACGTCCTCATTAGTACTGTGCTATATAGGGTGAACAATTTCATTTACTAAATAGTGGTAAAACACATGAATTAATAAAGTAATTCAGACACTGTCTCATGATCACTCAGGGTCTTTTTCTTCTTTGGTTAACTGCCTTCTTTGGTTAACTGCCCACTCCCTTTTGGATAAAAAGTGAGTTACTATCTGCCCTGCTGCTGAGCAGATTTTAAACTGTCTGGGCGCACTATAGAAACAGCTGAATTTCATAGCTCTAACCCAGATCTATTCCCTCTACTGCTTCTTTTACTTTGTGGTATTTCATACTGATAGCTCTTGTTTAGTTTTTCTGATCATCATACTATTAAGGCCTCTACCTCCTCTTCTGTCTTATTGCATGAATATGCCAATTTATAAACTGTTTAAAATGTAGTTTCCATGCTCTCAGAATAGCCTTCAGCAAGTAAAAGTAAGGCTTAGTTTATTAGTTTATTACATTGCAATTTAATACATTTCCTTTGCCAAACTATATGCATGTAAATTCATGGCATGAAAGTACAATACAGGTGTACTACTATGACATATTGAGACAAACTTTATACATGACTGTATTTCCTTTTAGTCAGTGTCCCCACCCTCAGGGCCTTCTAGCCTATCGAATATGTGAAAAAAAAAAAAATCATTTTAATTCAATAGAATTGAACAGAATCATCATACCTATATTTTAATTTTGTATTGTAGTACCACTCATATTTCATTGTTAAGTTTTGATAGGAAACCAAAGGGTTAAATTCTTAACAGAAAATTATCCAACCAGAATATTTTTGTTCCTCTGGTAAGTGGTTAGATACAGCTAAGCGAGCTTTCCCAGAACTAACCACTAACATAATTAGGAACTGATGTTCTGATTTACAGTGTCGGGACCAATTTTGTGAAAACACTTTGCAGTAGGCCTTCTGGAGGTCCTACATATATCACTGACAGCAAAAAAGGTAATTTAACCAGGTTGTAGTCAGTTGTTAGAGAGGGAAGCAGCATTAGCTCTATGTTACAAGGTAAAATAAATATAAATATATCTGATACTAGCTTCAAATAAAACATAGAAGGACAGATTCATAAAATGCAGTGCCACAGTTACCGTGACATTAAGAGCTAATAGTGTTGCAAGCTGATGTGGATTGAATGATATTTTCTGCAATGTGTCCAAAAATGATTGGTCCCACATGCACATACACACACTCAACTGATTAACTAATATATTTAAAAGCAGTTTGGACAGAGCTGCATGGCAAACCTTCACACTGCCGTTGTAGGAATGCAGAGGAGAAGGAAGGCTTGCTTGAGCATAATTTCAGATTGGCTAATTTTTCTGGCACCGTATATAAGACAGCCTTTTCTTCACGCAGCAGATTCAGCTTGTAATCCAAATAAGTGAAGAGGAAATTAACATGCTGAACTTCTAATTACATGTTTGAATTTGTTTTACTGCAGTTTATAATACTTTAAAAACTGTTTTACAATGGATTTTACAATGGAATTCAATTTACACATTTAAATAATAATAGTACCAATTTCTTTAGTAGCACAAATTCATTTTTCTACAAGGAAAAACTGCTATACTGCTATACTAGTTGATATTTAATATGTAATATTTATATATGTAAATTGAATTCCTGAGATAAAGAAAAATAGCTGAAATGGCTTGCTGTAATAATTAGAATTTCAGCATGTCAATTATAATGTAATTATAATGAATTGGAAAAAGGCTTGAATTATTATTATCATTGAATTATTTAACTGAGAATTTAAAACATACATGCTAAAATATAAATCCTACAATTAAAAGTTGAATTTTAAGATGTTAAAATTGGCTCTCAGCTCAGACACCAGAGAAAATTTTATATAATAAACAATAAATATCACAGTGTTAAAAAGACACCAACATGTTAATTAAGCCAGGCAAAAATGGCCATATGAATCGTCAATAGCTTAATGCTAACATACTACTAGAATCCCATTGGGGTGCCAGAAATGACCATTATCGTAGATGAGATTTCCCTCATTATCCAAATTTTGACATTTACAGCCCAAACTGAATGTCTAGCATTAATAGTCATGGTTCACCATTGATTTCAGTAATAGTACAAAAACAATTATCAGAAAAGAGAAACCTCTAGTTAAAGGTGAACAGTTACACAGTGCAATAAATGCACATTAACATGATGCAAAGTGCAGTTCAACCATGCAAACAGAGAAGGAGGGAATCTGAACATTGTACAATGCATGACTTAATGCTTTATAGCACATACCTTCTGGTACACCTAATAGGTCATCATGAATTGTACAGTATATTCTGTTCCCAGTGGCCTGTATCAGGAATTAGTGTTTCTGCCAATATGGCAAATGGATATGTTTTACATGTACATATAGTGCTGTAAAAAAGTCTTAGGCAGTTTAAAAATGCCTTGTTAAAAATTTGTCCTGACAGCAAGTGTGCTTTTGCAGTAAAAACCCTATATAGCATTAGAATAAGTACAAATATACATAAATACGGGAATACCTAAGAGGAATGTTTTGCTTTTTTCAAAAGGCTACTAATATGTAGGTTAGGAGAATATAGTGAGTCGAACACGGGTTCGATTCCTGACTTCTCACTGCTATTTGTCTACTGCATGTATTGCATGATACCTGTGAATACTGAGAATGTTTCAGAACATTTGTAGTTTTGTAGTGTTTTGTAGTGTTGGTGCTGTCAAAGCAGAACCAAAAAAACAGCTAGATTTTTTTAGGAGGAGAAATAACCCTCTCACTGACGTTTGATTATCATTATGCGGCACTGACTCATGGCAACTATAATTATAAAAAAAGTATTCAATCTGAAGTCAGATAGCTACTTACTAAGGGGCAAAAAAATCAGTAACACATTTTACGGCAGGGCTCATAAGACTACATGACCCTTAGATAAGCTCATCATGACAACTGACATATGCCTATAAACATTTATAAATACATATTCCAATAGGCATCATTTGTCATAACGATTGCTCTGTGTCACTTTGACATAATGCTGACAGTGTGACATAGCCTGACATGCCAGACTGGATGAACAAAACACAAAAAAAATCGATGTCACCTGACATTGGTGTTGACAAAAGCAGCCTTTATGACAGATGACATCTATTGGAATAAACCAATATCAGTGTTTATTGAAATCTATGTTAGTTGTCATGATGAGTTTATGTAAGTGTTATGTAGGCTTATGAATGCTGTCCTACAGTAACATGGTAGCAAAAGGGTCAGATTTGAGCAAATAAGAGAGATGTGATTTAACACGATTAGCTACACAAAAGAATGTGATTACTTGTGATTAATTATTTTAACTCTGTGACATCCAGGTACTTCTAATATTCTGTTTTCTTTTCAAGAATCCATCTCACATCTGAGATGATGTCTTCTGTCCCTCGTCGTTTACTGAATCCGTGTTTAAAGTATCACTGCAATATCCTGTGGATGATCTTGACCGGCTTGTTTTTGCTTATAGTTGCATGATTGTACAGTAAGTGCTGCTTCAGTGACCATTTACCCAAACATAACAGGCCTTGTATTGGCATTATACTGAGTAAAACAAGTCGTCCCTTATCCGACCAAAATCTCAACGGTATTCCAGCCAGATCAAAGTCTTCATCTGAGATTGGTATCACGTCTAGAGGCTGCAAGACAGAGAACATGACAGAAAGATCAAGCATTTCAAAGGCATTTAAAGCTCAGTATTAAGCATTTGATACATACATGCACTGTAGATGGCTACAGCTAATTAGAATTAATCTCAGAGGTTTTTACAGTTTTCTTTCCTGGTGGAGAAAAATAAATCACTGGGAAATACGAAAACAGAATAATCATGAACTCACAGTAGGTTCTTCAGTTTATGGCTTGGATCTTCCAGAAAAGCTGAGAGCTTCTGCGTTTCTGATTCTCCAAGTTCATTTCTGCCCAGATTCAGCTCCCTAAGGCATGAAGTGTTTGACCTCAGAGCAGACGCCAGATAAGCACAGCCTTCGTCTGTGACCTTGCAGTTATACAAGCTATGAAAAGAAAAAGAAAAATACATTTTACCTACATGAGGTAACTTACCAACTTATGAGGCAAACATATTTTAAAAAAGGAAAAACACATATAATTCTGTAGGTTAATAAACAGTTTCCTGTGAGAGCTTTTTATACAGGTTTGGGTGTAGTTTTACAGTGAAGACACAGCAGTTTATAGTATTGGAGGAGTGATACCTGTGAGGAATGCTCAGGGCCTTCTGGGCCTTCGAGGTCTGTTCATTTAATAGAATCATCATGCTTATTGTATATAAACTCTGCAAGTATTGTAGTGAAACTCTTATTTAATTGTTGAATTTCAGTTGAAAATCTAGAAACAACCATTAGAAATGGTGTATTCAGGATTTTTCCTGCAGTATAAAGGTTGACACAATCAAGCTAGCTCTCCCATTGGTTAGGCCTTCAGGAGCTGGACTAAAGTCCTAACAGGTCAGACTAACCACTAACATAATTAAGAACTAAGAGAGGAGTCAGTAAATCATTTTGATTTACTAATATTATTATTATAAAATTTGTGAGACAAAAACATCATTCTAGTCCTTCTGGAATTTCTAGATATGTCACTGACTGCAACTGCAAGCAGAAATCTAATCAGGTTTCAGTCAGTTGTTAGAAATGGAAATTAACTGCTGCTCTATATCAGGGCCATATACCAGGTTTTGATGTGTATGACTCAAATTGAAGGCATAGATCTAATAGGTACAGTTCTTATTAGTAGACATAATGTGCCCTGTATCACACAACTGAAGGCAGAAAGTCATTACAGAACAACACTTATGTGAAGTGTGAGACTGTCCAAGACCTGCACTCACTTTAACGTCTCCAGTTTACACTGCGGTTTCCTCAGAGCATCAGTGAGCAGCTTAACTCCTGGATCACACAGCTCGTTGCAGCTCAGGGCCAGTTCTTTCAGATTCGAGGACTTCGACATGAGAACAGAGGCAAGATACACACAACTCTTCCTTGTGAGTTCACAATCAATTAACCTGGTGAAGAAAAACAATATCAGCTGAAAATCTCTAAAACAGTGGTAACCATCTATGGAGTCTACACTCTTAAAAAGATGGTTCTTCAAGGGTTCCTTAGTAAAGACAGAGGTTCTATATAGAACCACGAACACTCAAAGGACCATTTGCATGCTTAAAGTGTTCCTTGCATGGTCAAATGGTTCTTAAAATCGATGAAGAATGTGTTTATGGTTCTATATAGAACCTTTTTGAAAATGGTTCTATATAGCAAACCACAAAGTGTTCTTCTGTTATAATATGCTTGACTGCACTCTTTAAAATGATGATTCTTGAATAGTATTTCATTATAGAACAGCCTTCAGACTGAAGGACAGACCTGAAGCGCTACACCCAGAAAATATGGTGTTCAAAGGAAAGAGATAAAACAACTCTAAACATATCCAGCTGAAACTTTAGTAAGTTTTAAGAGAATGTGAGCTGTGAGTTACTAGAAACTAGCTGTGATGGCTGGTGTGCAACCTAGTATACTTGCAATTTAAACATGGTAGCCAACAGTTTCAAGCTGTTTAGCCTCTTTCCTTTAAAAACTGCATTTACAAAAAAGGGTTTTTTTAATATTAAGAGACTCATTATTTGAAGCTGTATGAAATCTGGCGCTACTGTAAGCTGTGAGAAAACGGCATTATAGTAATTATTGTGCATGACCGTAACAAAACTGACAGGTAGAATTACACATGTACATCTGGAAAAGAAAAGTTTTGTTCATTTACCACATTAGCAGGTCCGAATTGAATCACTTGTGTTTGAGTATTTTTTCTCAGACTGAAATTTCATGAGTCAGAATTAAGAGTCATTTAAGGGCGAGTTGAGTCGTGAGTCAGTCCCCATTTAAGCATATCAGCGATTTAAAATGCATTTATTTTTGGGATGATCTTAAACTACAACAGGCAGTCTAACAAGACTGTCATTTTGATATGTGTTCACAAGTTATTTGTGTGGTGTTTTCCGGAGCTCTGTTGGCCACATAATCGCTGACAACAGAATCAGTGGTTAAGCTAAATCTGAAATAGGGATCTTACTTCAGCGTCTCCAGTTTACAGTGTGGATTCATCAGTCCAAAACACAGCTTCTTCACTCCTGAATCATGCAGGCAGTTTTTACTCATGTTCAGCTCTCTCAGGCTTGAGGTGCTTGATCCAAGAGCTGAGGCCAGTGCTATACAACTTTTTTCTGTAAGATCGCCATTGCACAGCCTGATGACATAGTCATTTAAATTACTGCAGATCACATCTATAGCTGTCAGTCTCTGACTTCACATTAGCTATATTTCCAAAAAAAATACTTTTTTTTTTTTTACAAAAAATGCTTTAATGCTTCAAAAACTTTGTCGATGTACACTCTCAGAATTAAAGGTACTAAACTGTCACTGGGGCAGTCCCCCTCTTGTCACTGGGGTGGTACCCTCAAGGGTACATCTCAGTACCTTTAGTCAGGGAACATAATTGTACCATAATCCATTGAAATTTTATTTTCTAAGTTGTATTGACTCCACACACCCCGTCTCGTCTCCAGGCTTTTTATTTTATTGTTCTGTTTTAAAACATTAGGTTATGAAAAGGTACAAGGTACAAAGGTTTCACCTGGAAAAAAAATATTTAAGGTAAAAAATTGGACCTTAAAACATTTGAGGGAACATTTACATGGTTTGTACCCTGATGAATGAAAAAATGTACCTGCACAGTATCTTTATTTCTAACAGTGTAGGCTACAGGGATGAAATTTGTCAGTAAGATTTTATGAACGTCAATTAAACATTTTCCAGTGGAAAACCTACACTGGAAACATTTTTTTTTTTCTGGGGAAAAAAGACACATTAATGCATAAATTTAGGGTCATGTGACAGATTACCCTGGTCCGCCTCATACAATAAACACAAATGGCAGAGAGGAATAGCTGAACTCAACTTTTTTTAAATGGTAAACCAAAACTAATGCGACAAAAGTACCTTAATTTCTAACAGTGCATGAAGCATCACTGCCCATCACTGGGCATAAAAAAATTGCAAACTTTTTTGACGCATTTTCATTTTATCACTTGCAAATGCACAGTTGATGGAATCATAGGTGATTAGCTTACATCAAAACAAAACAACAACAAAAAACATAGCAATTGATGTCACAGTGCTCTGTAATAAATTGTAGCTTTTTAAGATATTGAAGAAAAAACAACACTTACTCTGCCTTTCTGGATGCTTTGATCACTGGCTGCAGCCTCAGAACGTATTCGTCTGATTTGCCATATTTACTGAGTTTAAACTCATCCAGCTCCTTCTCTGAGTTCAGCAACGCAAACACCAGAGCTGACCACTGAACAGGAGTGAGTCTAACTTCAGAGAGACTATGATGATCTTTGCTGTGCACATATTTCTGGACTTCCTGCATTAGAGAAAGGTCATTGAGTTCGTTTAAACAGTAGAAGAGATTGATGGATTTCTCTGGAGCAGGCTTCTCCCTGATCTTCTTCTTGATGTGCTGGGCTACTTCTTCACTGCTGTGGGAGCTGCTTCTTAATGGTGACTGCAGGCCTTGCAAAAGAGTCTGATTGGACTTCACTGAAAGGCCCAGAAGGAAGCGAACAAAAAGATCCAGGTGTCCATTCTCGCTATTTATGGCTTTGTCCACAGCTCTCTTGAGCAAATCTGTCTGTGTTTTCTCATAGAGGAGATCAGCGAGATCAGAAGTTTGCTGTACCTTGACACCAGGAGGGTTTTCTCTGTGGATACTGAAACTGAGAAACACGTATAAAGCAGCCAGGAACTCCTGAATGCTGAGATGCACAAAGCAGTACACCTTCCCCATGAAGAGACCGAACTCTTCTCTGAAGACTTGGGTGCAAACTCCTGAGTACACGGCCAGTTCTTTCACATTGATGCCGCATTCTGTCAGGTCATCTTCGTAAAAGATCAGATTGCCTTTCGCCAGCTCCTGAAAAGCTAGCTTTCCCAGTGCGAGGATCGTCTCTCTGGCCTGCTGAGGATCCGTCTCATATTTTCCATGGTATTTCAGATTTTTCTGTTTGGTCTCAAAGATCAGGAAATGGGTGAACATTTGCGTGAGAGTCTTGGGGATCTCTTGCATTTCTTCTTCATTCAGTAATCTTTCCAGAACAGTGGCTGAAATCCAACAGAACACAGGCAAGTGGCACATGATGTAGAGACTTCTTGAGGACTTTATGTGTGTGATGATTCTTTTGGCCAGGCTCTGGTCACTGATCCTCTTCCGGAAATACTCTTCTTTCTGGTGGTCGTTAAACCCTCGTACCTCAGTTACCTGGTCAACACATTCAGGAGGGATCTGATTGGCTGCTGCTGGCCGTGAAGTTATCCAGAGGAGGGCGGAGGGAAGCAGATTGCCCTTAATGAGGTTTGTCAGCAGAACATCCAGCGATGTTGCCTCTGTGGCACTGCACAAGCTCTCGTTCTTCTGGAAGTCCAGAGGAAGCCGGCACTCATCCAGGCCGTCAAAGATGAATAGGACTTTGTAATCAGCACAGTCCAGTGATCCGAATTCTTTTGTTTCAGTGAAAAAGTGATGCAGGAGGCCCATCAGGCTGAGCTTCTTCTCCTTCAGCAAATTCAGCTCTCGGAAAGGAAGAGGAAATATGAATTGGATGTCCTGATTCGCTTTTCCATCAGCCCAATCCAGAATGAACTTATGCACGGAAACGGTCTTCCCGATTCCGGCTACACCTTTAGTCAGCACAGTTCTGATGAGTTCGTCTTCTCCAGGTAGGCCTTTAAAGATGTCATGGCATTTAATCGCAGTGTCCTGCGTAGCTAGTCTCCTAAACGCTGTCTCAATCTGTCTCACCTCATGTTCGTTATTCACCTCCCCACTCTCGCCAGCTGTGATGTAAAGCTCTGTGTAGATGTCACTGATAAGCTTTGAGTGTCCCTGCATTACGATTCCTTCATTAAGTCTCTTATATTTTGTCTTCAGTTTTATTTTGAAATTTTTCTGACATACAGGGGCCAGTTCTGATGAACAGAGTAATATGAACAGAATGAGTGAATAAATGATGTGAAGTAAAAAGGAAAAAGCATTATTATACACTATATGTCCAAAACCAGTATTCAAATGACATCAAATTACAGTTAACTGTATAATTATTGGCATCCCTTTAACAAGGCATCAGTTTTTAACTGTTTATAAATGCATATGTTTTTCAGGGATTATTCTTCAGTGTTTCATTACCAAAACCATGAAAGTTGACAAAGAAGTGTATGTGGGTCTTTTAATGGTTTGCTGAAAATATGAAGGGAAAAAAGTTCTACTGGAACTAATGCCCTCTGTATCTCCACACTAAAGCTTGTATGATCTTTCAAACTATTGGTTACATGTATTACAGTACCATATTAGCAACTATGCATCTGTCTTAAAGGTTTCTGATTTGTCATTAAAGTAATTGAAAATGAAAATCACATTACACCTACCTAAATTAAACTTTTTTTGTACTATGATACAAATACTAAGTTGCCAAAAGTTTTTTGGGTGGAGAAATTAAGGGCAAAAGTTGCTCTGAGTATTTTTTCCCCTCTATTGGTGTTTCAGCAAGCAATACAATGGCGCATGTGCATCTTCTGTTTTGGTAATTGAGCACACTTTAAGTCAAAGTCCCTGAATTTTTTAGTTTCTACAATTCAAAATTAATTAGTTAACTGTAAGTTTATACTTCTTTATATTTAGGCAAAAATTAGGGGCATTTCCATTTTTAAAGTCTCTATATTTCAGATAAATCAGAAAATAATTGAAGCATAAAACTTGACATTATGCACAGTTACATAATTATCAAACATTTACATAAATGTAAGGTGATAAGACACATAGACGCATAGTCACAAGATCAGAGCAGGAAACAAAGTGCATATCTGGCACATTTGCATATTTAATTTGCTCTTGAGAAAACAATACATACATTTGTACATGTGTAAAATGAGCAAAAACTAAAAAGCTGATGAAATGAGTACAATGTATAATGTTGGGCTATATTGTAAAGCTCTAAATTTACCTTCACTCATTACTAGTTAGTAATGCTGCCATGACTGGGGCAGCTTTAGCTCAGTCTATCTCAGTAGCTCTCAAAAGCCATCGCCGTGCAGCACATCCATCTCTATGATTTTGCACACCCATGTGTGATTTCCTTATACTTTCTCTTGGAGAACAGTTATCTGTCTTGTTCATTACATCTCTGTAGTTGTGCCATCATTTTCTCTTTGGTCATGAACTCCACTGTTTTTAGCTGCACACTTTTAAGCAGGTCTATCTAGTGGAACCAGTTGCCTAGTGAACCCTCAAGCAAACAATTCAAAAACAAATACCTTACCCAGTAAGAGCCAGTAAGAGAAAAAAAGGCTTTCTTACTTGTCTGGAGTATCTTAGCGAGGCCTGTCTGGTTCATGCTGTTCAGGACGTGCAGTGTGATTTTCAGAGCACCCTCTCTGAAAGTGCTTTGATCTTCCTCATCCTTCTTTTCTTCCTTGGAGCATGCTGAGTAATGTGAACATAGTACCTTTTTGAACCTCTTCAGCTCAGTCTTCACCAGTGAGATGACTTTGTGCTCTACATCCTAAAAAAAGAAATATATATTTAATGTAGAAATGTGTATATATAAATATAAACATATATATATACATTCCTTGTATGTATATATAGCTGCTGTTGGAACAAAAGCTCATATAATCTCTGTCTGCACTTTACATTATGTGAACATTTCATATTTAATGGACCAAAAGAAATGTTCCACATTTACTTGACATAAAAGTATTTTACATTAACTTACCTCAAAAGTAAAGAACTTTTTGCCCTCTTCTTTGAAGTTGCTATCTTGGATATACTTGTTTTTCTTTGCACAGTAACTATATATCTATCTATCTATCTATCTATCTATCTATCTGTCTATATATATATATATATATATATATATATATATACATATATATATATATATATATAGAGAGAGAGAGAGAGATAGATAGATAGATAGATAGATAGATAGATAGATAGATAGATAAAACTTATGTGTTTATATTTGTTGCATAATATTGAGTTGACTGTGCTGTTAATCAAAACTAGTTAGGTTGGAAACAATGACAAATATGCCACCATGCTTATGTTTGCATGACAACAAACTACATCTGAACTGAATGAACAGGGTCACCTTTCAGACGCACAGAAAATAAATATCTTTTGAAACAAATACTAATAATGCACCAATGGTTTGTGTATTCTGACCAAAACCAAGTCACCCACTACAAATTTCTCATTACACTGAATGTTCTGTAAAGCTTGGCCAATATTGCAATAGCTGCTGTGAAAGAATGCATTTATGTGTGGAGTTAGAGTAGATCGAGTCAAGGTCTTTTACATCTATATATAGTAATATAGCCCTGTGTATGTGTAGTCCCCCTATTTCAGAAGACCAGTGGCCAACAGTAAGTGATTGGACAGTTGACCAAAAAACAACTGAGGACTGAATTGCTCTATTATTTAAGGTTCTCTAAAATGTGCAGTGAAACTATAAGGTATACACTCACTGAGCACTTTATTAGGTACTACCTTGTATCTACATTCTCCTCCATTTTCTCAGTCTGTAATTACAAAGTGCACATGTATGGAAAGTGGAGTTGATAAAATTGACAATGAGTGCAGATACAAGGTAGGGGTACTGAATAAAGTGTTCAATGGATATATACACATAATACACATTTGATATCATATATATATATATATATATATATATATATATAATATAGATGTAAATGCCCTTGAAATAAAGCTGACCGTAACTTCGGTCAGTATTTCATTCTAAATGTAGTGGAGCACAAAGTCAAAACAACAAAAACTGCCTCGCTGCCCAAACATGCTGCTGTGTGCTTCCAACACCTCTATATTGGTATATATATCTCTATAAAGGTTACAGGTATGACTGTGTGTGTGTGTATGAGTGAGTGATGGTAGGAATGCATGTTTTATTTTATCTTTATTTTATTTTTTTGTACTTATCTTATTGTATTTTAATTTATTTTATATTTATTTTATTTTATTCACTACATGTAAATGTTTGATACTGTACACTGTGGGCTCCTGTTACCAAAACCAAATTCCTTGTATGTGTAAGCATTCCTGGCCAATAAAGCTTGATTCTGATTCTGATTCAGATATGAAGCATGAATGAACAAAGTATCCTTTTTTCAGTTTTTTTCTTATTCTGTCCACCACTCACCATGAAAACAGAGTCCAAGTGGTTGATTATTTCACTGTTGAAAGCTTTGTCCTGCTTTTCACTGTCAAGACACATAGCAATGAAGGTGACATTGTACTGTAGAGCAGTGTTCATAAGGCTACATGACACCTTCATTAGCTTGTCTTGACAACTAACATAATACTGCAAAAAACATTTATAAAGACCTACTCCAACAGGCTTGGTCTGCCATAAAGGCTGGTTTTGTAAACTTTGATGTCAATTTGACATAAGTTTTTTCTGACATTGGGTTGTCACGGCACTTTTTTGGTGAAATGGCATAGCATGTTATAACAACTGACTTTGTATGTCACAGTAACATAATGCTGGTGATATGACATAACCTATATCTTATAAATATTAAACTCATTTTATCTAAGAGGCACACAAAATGTTTACTACTTTTAGATGTTATGTCAACTTGTTTATAAGTATTTATGTAGGTGTATGTCAGTTGTCATGAAGGCCTTAGGTAGGTGTCATGTAGCCATGTGAACGCTGCAGTTGCTGCAATGAGTTTACTGAGAAATGTTTCCTCTTCCACATTTAACACAAGTATGGTGACAAAAAACACAAAGCAGGATAGAAAAGTTGAACCTGCCAACATAAAGGCAATAATCACTGAAGGTTAAGACATGCATTATATTATGCAGATATTTCTTTTTGCTTGAAGCTATTCTTACCTCTGCTTAGTGTAAAAACCTCTGAAATATAGAGGAAGTTCCCTAGAGAAATCACTCTTCATGGACACACAGCTGGGCTCTGGAGACTCTGATCTTTCTGTGGGAATCAGACTAAAAGCAGGTCCAGATTATTGGTAATGTTGAAACGTCATATTCAGAGTGAATAGTAAGCATAGTGATCTTATTCATAATTGAACAACGCAGAATATATCATCACTTTTTGAACCATGTATCTATACCATGTATAAAGGGTCCAGAATCACTTGCAATAAAATGTTGTTACATTAACCTCCATTGAAGGTTAAGTCAGTTGTTGTCTTCTCCTGTAAAGTTACCATTTTGGAGATACATGGTTTTTTAAAGGTGACAACTTTTTAAACTGTGGTGTCAAGTTGACAAAACACAGCTTTTGCTTAGATTAGGTTAAGATTCTTACCTCATCTTTGTGTAAGAGTCTCTGAAATATATAGGAAGTTCCCTAGAGAAATCACTCTTCATGGACACACAGCTGGGCTCTGAAGACTCTGATCGCTCTGTGTGAATCGGACTAAAAGCAGGTCCAGATTATTGGCGATGTTGAAATGTTATATACATAGTAATATAGTAAGCATAGTGATGTAATTTATAACTCAATTAGAAAGAAGATATCATCACTGTATTATCAAAACCATGTATCTCAGTCTCGCCATAAAATATCATTACATTAACTTCCATTGAAGTTTAAGTCAGTTTTTGCCTTCTCCTGTAAAGGTACCATTTTGGAGATACACGGTTTACACCTATGACAGTTGGCATCAGTTTTTTTCTTACATTAGGTTGCGTTGTGACACTTGAAGTGATATATGACATTATAATAACTGAGTTTGTAGCATAGTGTATATCACAGTGATGTTATTTTGATGAAATGACAGTTTAAATCTTATAAATATTAAAACAAAACTCATCTAACTGCCACAGAAAGTGTTGCCTTTTGTTCAGTTGGACTTTGGAAGGCTGTGTCATATTATCAGCATCATGTCACTGTGACATACACTGAGCTACAGAGTCTGTCATTTCACCCCAGAAAGTGTCATGAAACAACCTGATGTAAAAAATCATCACCTGACATAGATGCGATGTCGTGTTGACGTCAAAGCTGGAAAATGTGTTACTGAAAAAGTGTATCCGTTTCCTACCAACATACAGTCTATAATCACAAAAGGTTATAAAATGCAGGCTAATCTGCACAAACAGATTTGATTTCTTTTTGCATTAAGCTGTTCTTACCTCATCTTAGTGTTAGAGTCTCTGAAATATAGAGGAAGTTCCCTAGAGAAATCACTCTTCATGGACACACAGCTGGGCTCTGGAGATCTCTCAGTGTGAATCGGACTAAAAGTGGGTCCAGATTATTGGCAATGTTGAAACATCATATACACAGTGAATAGTAAGCATGGTGATCTTATTTATAACTCAACTACAAAGAATATATCATCACTGTTTTATCAAAACTATATCTGTATTTGGTTTCAAGATTTTTTTGTGCTTTAAATCTGAGACAATTACTTTAAATCATGTGTCAAAGAAGTAGTGCTACTATAAATGTGTATGTGATCAGCATAACAGGACAGGACCGAGGACAGATCCCTGGGGCACACCCCCTGTGTAACTTGTGTTTACAGACAAAAACTGCTACCTGTCAGTGAGACAGAACTGAAATCAAACAAAGGCTAAGCCAGCAAGTCTAGTCACTTGCTCAATGTTGCACACTGCCCTCTACTCAGCAGTAATGATGCAGTTATGCTGGCTAACGCCTTTATCATCTCTCATGTCGATTACTTTAACTGTGTCTTTATTAATATCCCTGTTAAATTGCTTGTCTGCTCAAAATATTAGTTAAATGGTGCATGGTTTAACATAATTTTAAGGACACCTCCAGAGATCAAGAGGTTAACTACTTACCCCAGTGTGGGATGTAAACCATGCCTGAACTGTGGTGGATTTTCCATAGAGTCCTCACTCTTCATAAACATACAGTAGGATCCAGGGATGTCTGGTTCCTCTGAACTAAACACAAACCAGGCATTCCACACAATGTGTTGAAATTTAATGTTTAAGCTGAAACATGATCTGATTGCACATTTATGCATTTCTACACTAACACATTGTAGCTATCAGAAGAAAAGAAACTTTATGGGAGAAAGGGAAAAAAAAACTTTCTTAACCTTCAATATAAGTTAATTTAACAAGAGTGATATTTTGTGTCATTTCTGTTGGTTCAATTGTAATGAAATCATAAATGCACTTAAAGGACAACTGGTATTATCAATTTATATCAAAAACTGAAACATTAAAATGGAGATCAAAGGTTTTTTTTTCCAACAGCCACAACATGCTGACAATTTCATACACTTGCATTTGTTTATATTTACAGAAAATAACTTCATACTTGTTCTCTCAGTCATCTTACCTCTCAGCTTCCCAAGAATCGTCCAGTTCTTCAAACATAGTTCTTTTTGAGGTTATTACTCTTCTTCAAGCATGTAAACTATATTCCTATGTAAATAGAATAATTACTGAAAAAAGGCAAGTGTCTTGAATCTGGCTTTGCACAGAGGTTTACGACATGATTGGTCCTTTCTGTCCCACTATCCTCACTGACAGCACTATATAATTTCTTGCTGAATATAAAATAAGAAAGAATATAAAGAGAATATATCTTCTAAGCGTGCTTCCTTCAGCTCAGGTTCAGCTCTTACTCTGGCGTGTCTTTTAGTGTGCTAGTGTAGCTTTAACCTGCACTTCCTGCTTTTCTGGCTTATCTGCATATCTTTAACTTATAGTAAGCCAGACTGCCAGGAAAAGATGTTTTCCCTTGTTTTCTTTATCAGAAGGAATTTGCACGAAACTTGTTTCATTTTCATTAAGAAGATAACTTGCAAACCAGCATAAACTGATTTTTTGCTGTTGCAAAACAACACAAAACGACTGTGATAACGTTTTTGGTACGCTGGTAAGAGTGAGGACACTGAGAGCAGGGTAGGCAGGGGAGACGCAGAGCTTTCTTTTATTATGACAACACAAACAATTCAACTTTTCAGCTTGTGTAACTAAATAAGAACTGCTTCCCTGGTGACTTTTCAGCCTTAAGTATGCTCAGCTCCTCTGTCTCTCTCTGGTCTCTGGTCACTAAGAAAAGACATGAGTATAAATAGGCTGCCAGAAACAGCACACAGGTGAACATTATCAGCTACTCAGCCCGCTGGTTCAGCATGACTGAAATTCATCCAAAAGTGCTATATCTTTAATATAATTAAGGACATTTGAATGGATTATTTTTTTTCTTTCAATAGCAGCAGTATAATAACAATAATAATAATAATAATAATAATAATAATAATGCATGTCAATTATGTAATTTTTGTTATTATTATTGTTAAAATTATTATTAATTAGACTATTAATTATAATTAATTACTACTACTGCTACTACAAATAATAAGTCAAGCTCAACGTTTAGGTCTTATATTCAAAATCAGCATCACGCTGATGAAGATATGATGACAACAGTCAGAAGACAGGTCCATCATCAGGTTTTGACTGAGTTCTCTTTGTTCTCTTTCTCTTCAACTGAATTCTCTGTCATCCGCTCTGGAAGCACAACCCACATTACAAACTGCTCTGTACATTGTGTGCAGTTACTTACTTACTTAAAACTTACATAGTGCAGCTTCAATTAATTGCTTTGGGTACTGTTTCAGTGTTTCAAGTTTAAAGAGCTCTGATCTCTTGTATGGCATTTTCTAAAGTGATCATTATTACATCTTTACATCATACCAAAAAGATCTTTACCCTCAACAGTACGTGTTCAAGCTTCTCTAGCTGAGGGCTTTACCTACAATGAGCCCTTACAGAAGGGGTCATCACCAGTCTTATCCACAAAGGACCAGTGATCCTAAGAGTCCGTCCAAGTGGAAGGGGGGCAGGTTCACACATGTGCTTGTGTGCTACCACTGTATTGTCACAGAGGAGTGTAAATTTGGTCAGAAATGGCTAAAGCCTACATACTGCTATTCAAACACAAATCTATGTGGAAAAAAGTACACCAGCAGTTAGAGTTACCATAATGTCACAAATCTAATGACCTGTAAATCGATATAAAGAAAAAAGCTGTGCAAAATTAATTTTTGGACCACCCTTCAATTATCTAGATTCCTGTCAAAACAGCCATTAAGTACAAGCTATTTATTTTTCAGGAGACACCTCTGAGAAGAATAGATATGCTCTGTTAATACTGTAATCTGTGATCAGTCCCTCTTTATAGGACTAACTCTCTGTGTGTTTTCCTTTCTTTGTCGAGTTGAACAGCTGCCCATCCTGAGCGTCTGATGCTGTTGCTTCTTCTGCTTTGATCAGGTGCCCACTGTCGCCAGCCTTCTGGACCGGCTTGACCACCACTGAGCTTAATGCTGTACAACACTGTGCAAATCTCACCCTCATGAACTGACCCTCCCGATGCTGCTGCTGCTGCATAATCTAAAACTGATCTAATTAACCATTGCCCCGCCTGTTTTCCCCGTTTTGTACTAGAATACTTTATACTAACACTATATGCTATCTGGTGTGGACCAGAGTAGGATCAGTTCCCCCTTTCCTTGCCACTGTCACCACTGGCGATGCTCATTGAGGCCTGGACCCGGATTTTTCTGTAAAGCTGCTTTGTGACAACACCTGTTGTAAAAAGCTCTGTATAAATAAGCTTTGCTTGCTTGCATATACGATAAAAGAGAAAAGAATGGAAAAGCCAAATGAAAAATTATGGAGCCCCGGAGGGGACGGAGGTAAAAAAAATAATTCCCTCGTTTTCTTTTAAACGTGCGCAAATTTTCTTTACTTCGTGGGTACGTTTTTTATTTATTCGTGATCACGATTTTCTCATTCGTTCTCTCGTTTTCTTTTAATCGTTGTCATGTTACATTTTTAACCCTAACCCTAACGGTAGTAGATGTAGTAGATACAGGTGGTGTTATTTATCCTGTGCAGAAGTAACTAACAGCTCCCTGACACTGTCTGGCGGGTTTTGATGAGTTACACTGATAAGATAATGAACAGTGATGTTCATCAGGCCATCATGATGCTCATCATGAGGAAACTGTAGCTCCTCTTCACAGCAAACGGCCCACAGATTCATCAGTGCAGCCGCAGTTTGGTGTTGAAATGAAGGAAGACAATAAACTACAACCACAATCTTCACTAAACTGCACTGTCTAATGATCATATTTAACAGAGATATAGATGCTTAGCGTTGTTTCTGCTCCCTGACAAGCTGCGGTGTTAGAGATCATCACACAATTACACGACGAAATTATCAGCGTCAACGTTTCAACAAACTCAAATTAACCACACAGAGAAACATTCATGTGGGATGAGGTCAAATGGCGAGAGAGTTTAATAGATCTATGGATTAGATATAGATATATTAATGTTGAAACGCTGATCATTTCGTCCTGTAATTGTGTGACGGTCTCTAACACCGCAGCTTGACCAGGAGCAGAAACACCGTGGGCCGTTCGCTGTGAAGAGGAGCTGCAGTTTCCTCATAACCCCCAAATCAAAATGACTTAATGAGCATCTCTGTTCATTACATCATCAATCTAACTCATCAAAACCCGTCAGACAGTCTCAGGGAGCTGCTATCAAAACACAAACAACGAGCGTTCAGTTAAAAATAAAACATGACCACGGTTAAAAGAAAACGAGAGAACGAATTAGAAAATCGTGATCACGAATAAAAAAAAACGTACCCACGAAGTAAAGAAAACGTGCGCACGATTAAAAGAAAACGAGGGAACGACTTAAGAAATAGTGACCACGAATAAAAGAAAACGTGCGTACGGACTGTAAAACGTTCGCTTCTTTGAAAACACTGACAGCAGGAAAAAAGCTCCTGATAAGAGTGGAAGATGTAATAAACGTAAACCGAAAAAGCACTTTAATTGTTGAGCTTTCTGCTGTTAAATAACGTTAAACGTTTTCTCATAAAATTGTGATTTTAATTTTGACAGCACGAGGACGCAGCTGGGGTTTTATTTGGAAAAAACTGCACTCACGTGACACCCGCGTCACCTCCGGACGCTGTCTGGCGGTATTTTTGTTTGGGTGTGAGAAGGAGGAGGAGCTGCAGGGACGAAGAATGTCGGTTCATTAATCAAAGTTCGTCTAAAATATATAAAACCCTGACTCAGCGAATTAAAACACACTCACGGTAAGCACAACTGTACATAACCTACCATAAATGTCGTACCGCCTGTTGCTTAGCAGCCGGAGATACCGGAGTGAGTCCAGACTGTTTTTAGCATAGCTAACGTTAGCTTAGCCAGCTACAGCAGGAACGATCATTACTCCCGAGTTAGTCCGCAAAGCCGGAGTCAGCTTCTTGTTTAAAATGTCCCGTTCCACCTTAAACGCTGCTGGAGACGCCAGAATGTAACTGCTGCACCATTTAAGGTGGAACTGGAAAGTTCGAGCAAGAAGCTGGCGAATAGCAAGCCAACTTAGCTAAGCCTCGTAGTGAAGCCCACATCCCGGCGTTTCTTCTTCAACTTTGCTGATATACCGTGTATATAACGTTAGTAATCTAACGCTAGCTAGCTAACTATGTCCGTTTATGAGGCGACATTTGAGACATGCGTTGAATAACTTAAATAGCCAGCTAAATATTTCACTCATGACGAAGCTGTTTAGCTTCTTTTCCGAATTATCCGTTCCACCTTAAATGGTGCGTTCTGAATGCACCATTTAAGGTGGAATGGAAAATTCCAATAAGAGCCCAGTTTCAGCCTCTGCTAGCTTTCTGCCATCAGTTATGTTACAGACTGCCTCGACGTAATTAACTCCGTTATGAACTGACTTGACTGGCTGACATTAGCGAGTTGCTGAAGTCAGTAGACGTTGTTAAATGCTGGTTTTGTAGCAACATACCATAACGTTAAGGTTAACACAATTTTTTCAAGTCCTACTGATGCTGGGTATCCACTGATACAGGTGGGTGACAAAATTAAAATAAACTCCACAAATGTTTCCAAATTTCTGCACAATTCAATCGTTGAGATGTAAGCAAAGTAATCCAGAGTGTTTTGCTGTGTGCTGTTGCATTGTAGAGAAACCTGCCAGCTCTGCTGATAGGAAGGTGGCAGTGTCTACAACACAAATATAACCATTTTAATTTGCTTTCCAAAACCACCAGTGAACCTTTATGTGTCTTCTGAGTTTTTATATGTTGATAATGGTGAAGTAGTAGTAAATCTGAAAAAGTAAGTTTTCCCCGTGGACTGTTTTGCCTTACAACAACTTTCCACAATGTACCTCTCCTTTCCACCATGCATCTTAGTAACTAACCTTGCAAAACTACTGCATCAGGCTGTGTATTCGTAACCAGTCCACGTGAAAATGATCTGTGAGGGAGCTTATAGAGGCATTAAACACTGAAGGTGTCTGGGGCCTCATTTATCAAAGTGTGCATAGAACTACAGCTGGGCAGTATGACTGTATTTATCGTTATTCTGATACAGTACATCACGATAGGCTTTTCTGAGTATATTGTGGAGATTGTCAGTACTTAATAATCACTTTCCAACTGCATGTTTGATTAAAAAACGAGACCATAATTAGTCTTGTTTAATTGAATTTAGTGCAGCGCAGTGTGTGAAAAGTTGAATGCAAGTAATTGGATTCACAGTTTTTGATAATATTTTTAAAATGTGCCAGTACTTTGTCTGTGCTAACTTGAAATGTTAGAAAAAATATGTATTGTGACATATTGTGTATCATAACAGTCTTCCTATTGAAGAATCCAAACCCCAACTTAACCAGGGGAACCAGCCTGATGTCTGGAAAAGAGAAGTTTATTCACTAAACACATTAGACAACAATAAATTCCTTCACTGTTATATTACATTTTGCCATACTGCCCACCTTTAATATGTCACAGTATGCTTTTCAGAGCATATTGTGGATATTGCCAGCACTTGAAAGCACTTTCCAACTGCATGTTTGATTACAAAGAGAGCACAATTAGCCCTGTTTAAGTTTAGCTCAGGATGTAAAATGGTGACACCAAATCATCGTATTCATAGTTTTAGATAATAACATTATTAAAATGTGGTGTTACATTGTGTTTTCCAACTTATCGGATATCAGGAGAAAAATATGTATCACGACACATTGATGTATCGTGATATTGCATTTTTGCCATATCACCCTTCTCTACATGAAACATGTTCTGTGTCTGTGCACAAGAGCTGCCCATATGCACAAGACAATTGACATTTATCAAGCATGAAAATAATACGCACAGCTGTGAACAATAACCAATAAATCCAGTAATGCATACACTGCTCTGCTTGTGCACAGCTGGCTCATTTACATGAAGATACACCCCTGAATACCTAAATCAACAATGTCCCTTTAAAAGTCTCCAGAAGCCCATGAATCTAATGAAAAGCAGAAATGAAATGTAGAACATTTGATAATTTCACTTGTAAAAATTCAATTCGAACAAGCAAAGCAAGATTTACAATTTTACAATTAGTTTTTTTTTTTACCTTTCAGATTTATTTCTATGAGTACTTATTTATTGAAGTGATTATATTTTGCTTGTTTATCTTGATTTTTAAATATAACATTATATAAATATATAAAAATATACAAATATAAATATATAAAATGTTGATTAAAAGTTAAGACAACTCAAAGGTGTCAAATCTTCAAGCAGGACATAGTCAGCCACTGTCTACATTATCACAGTCAATCTGTAGATGTTCCTTCAACATGATTATGTTGCCTTAACTGTGAGCCTAAATTGGCTGTCTACCTGTTTGCTCCTTGTCTATACACAAATATTCTCACACACAAGAAAAAAAGTGGACCCAGACTATGACAGCAAAATGCCCCTCACTATAACAGAGCCACTGGACCACCTTACTGTGGGGGTTATGCATTCAGACCTGTACTGCTCTCGTGGTGTTCGCCACACATTCACTCACCTAATTCTCTTCTGTTTGATTTTTTTAATCTACGTTTCACACTAATGCACAAACATCATGGTTATCAAAAGTACGCTTTTGACCACAACATCCAGTCTTACTAACTGATGTGTTCCTGTGTTGGTCCTGGTGGAATGTTGTTTTGTTTCACTATGTACTTGTAAATAGCTGGAATGACAAGAAAGCCTGACTTGACTTGACTTCAGTCACTGTTCCTGTGCTTTCGTTTTGACTGAAGCTTCAGAGCCAGTAGGGAATCCTCTTTCAAAGTTACTTAGATCTTTTCCTCTCATCATCTTGATCCAAAATCACACACCACAGAGCATAGTAGAATAGTGCTGGACGATATGACCATAAATCAATATCATGATTAATTGAATATTTTACCTCAATTACGATTAATGAACAATTATTTTGTTTTTGATTTTTTTCTTGGTTTGTTTTTTTTGCCTTCTTAGTTCACTGACAAGGCTTGTACTGTAAATATGCTCTACATATCTTAATTAAAATGGTCTAAACAGCCAGATCGGAATTCACGCAGCTTTTACGTCAATCCAACTCAACATTTGTCATAATTTCACGCTGCTGAGACCTAATAAACATTTGGGGTGATGTTTCTGTACAAAAAACCTCTTGATTTGGGGAAAAAATAAGATTTGGGCCACTTATACCTGCTGTGTGAATGTAGCCTTAGATTCCATGTTGCAGAGTGGACGTGGTGGAGTCACGTGACTACAATAACCGACAAAAATAAATAACCGACATGGGCAAGATTACGTCAGTTAGAGGTTCTGAATGTCGATTTTGATTACATTTCGATTAATAGCTCAGTCCTATGGCAGAATGTTAATTTCTTAATTGTATCATGCAGTGCACCTGTCTAGAAGCCTGAGCACTTGTTATGCTTCTCCACTTAATCATTCATTTAAACTTGTCACATGTTTGTAACATGTTTTAGCTATTGTTGGTACATTTTGCTTGTAGGAATGGGCGATATGGCAAAAATCTCAACACATTTTCATAATAACAGAGCAAAATGCAACAGTAATGCCATATTTACAAAACTTGTCAAACTATGATGGAATGTTTTCCATTTTATTTACCAAGTTGAAATAAATTAATCAGGACTAATTATACTCTTTTAATGAAGCTTGCAGTTGGTCAGTGTTATTGAGTACTGATAATATCCACCGTATACTCAGAAAAGTGAATCATGTCAATTTATCACAGTAACACATTGTCATTTAGCCCAACTATATTTTCACTGAATTTAGGCAATTAGCAATGGAGCAGCAGAGCAAAATTCCTGAGACTCCCTCAGAAACAGACACAGGCTGCTCAGAAGCAATGAGAGCGGAGTTGCTGGATGAATGTGAGGAACAGTTTGGGCTATTACAAAAGGTCAGTTGGTTTATCAAACTTTTTTTTTTCCTTTACATGATGTATGAATTAGGACTAATTTACAATAGAATTTAATGAATACATAAAGGTTGTTTATGCATAAAGGGGAATTCCACAGATTTTCTACATTGTTCAGTCATTGAGATGGAAGTCATTGAGAGTAGTTTGATGTGAAATGTCTATTGTGAAGAAACTGAGCGACTGTATTCTAAAAAGTGGTTTGTTAAATAACACCACACTTACCTGTGTTACTCATTTTAACACGTTATCTGTAGCGGCAAGAAATATTTCAGCTATGTCTACAAAACAAATACCTCTCCACGCTGACAGGTTCCTCTCCACTATGATTGGAATTAAGCTAAAACCTTTTCTCAGAACTATCTGATGACTCTTGCATCAGCCAGCGTATCTGTAACTGTTTCATGTAACTTATCTTGTAGCTGCATTGAACTTGTCAGACATCAGGTTCCAATAAATAATTCTGACCCTTCTCTCAAGAATGGAGCGTTTCACATTGAACCATACTGAATGACTTTAACTTAATGATTTACTTATGCAGAAATTTGATAAAAATGTGTGACGTTCCCCTATGATTATTTATCCAGTGTACTTTTTAATTGTGCCTTTCAGCTTCAAAATGAGATCATTTTAGCAGACACAGACTGCAGTGATGGAGAATCAAATGAGGTGAGACTCTTCCACCATCCATTAATCTGTAATCCTCACTTCAGTGTTGACAAGCAAAAGCACTGTGTATTTTACCTTACCTTGCTGATCTGCACCTTCTTGTTAACTGAAACTCTGTATATAAAGTGTGTTTGTGAAATTCACACACTCCAACCAAGCTACTTTTGTAATGGCAGGCAGTGAATCGTTTGAATGCCTTGACTACAGAGCTGGAACAGTGGCAAGAAATGGAGCCCAAATGTGAGTTGCCATAGGGGCATGAGAATAATTGAAGTTAAGAATTTACACACAATAATTTATAGAACCAGTATAAATTCTTCTTCTTTTGTTCCTTGTCTTTTTCATGATTTCAGTACTGTCAACAAATCCTGAAATTTTATTGGGCCTCGGGAAGGATGAGGTGAGCTGTCATCTTTAGAATGCTATATAGTCTGTTGCTTGAAGAAAAGTTTAAATGCTTCATAAAATTGTGTATCTTTTTATGACTTTTCTGTATTTTACTTTTCTTATAGCTGCAAAGACTAAACAGTCAGCTGAAGATGGTCCTCTCCTGCTCCCAAGCAAAGCGAGATGCCCTGAAAGACGTTTTACAAAGGTGTCCAACTCCTCCTTAAACTCTTCCTGTTAATATACCACAGTCTGTTTTTGCTTGATCTGTTGAAACATTTGCTCTGATGCAGTGAACGCCAAGTGATGCTACGATACTTAATGTTTGATTCATGAAACTTTCGTACGATGTGAAAAACAAGTATAGATTTGAGCACCAGTGATGAATTAGCTTCAGTGCATAAAATCAAATGCCAGCCTACCAGCACCTCACATATCATTTACATATCATTTACTTGCGTCCTGCCCTACTCCATGCAGATGTTTCAGTAGGAAGCCAATTAAATAGCATTCGGTGGCTAATGAGGCAATTGTTGTGCTCCTAGGCAGAGTTTGATTTCGAGCTGTGATCCCACTGCTGCCCCCTACTGACCACTCTTTATACTGTTAAAATTGCGATGACTGGAAAGAATAAAATGTGAAATAAACAAAATATCCTAGAGCTATTGCACTAGCTGTGTTTTGTATTGTTTATTTTTTTTGGGCAATGACAGTAGCGTAAAAAAAGCGTAATGTGATTTGCCTTTAAAAGCAATTTGGAATAGTTGCAGCCTTTGTTTACAATAATGTGCATGTAAAATAAGTACATCCTCTTTTGTGCTGAATTGCCATGTACACAAATTGTTGGCGTTACTATTATTATTTCTTTTTTACTTTTATTATTGGTATCATAGATTATTTTGGATAGTTACCTGCAAATCATGCAGTTTTTTGGGCGGTTAAACTATTGCACTCAAATTTACACACACTGTTACCAGACATGAGTTTGAGCATACAGATACACCAAAGATGAAACTGAGGCATAACAAAACAAAAAATTGTGTTTTACAGGGAACAGAAGTGGCTTGAAGAGAAGAAGGAAGTGCTGAGTGCAGTGACTGAACGAGTTGCTACATTGAGGAATGAAAATGAGCAGCTGTCAGAGCACAGGTATAGTTTTACAGAGGTATGCATGCGAAAGGTAACATTCAGGCAAGTTTGTAGGCAGGAAACATGGAAAAAAGGGGATTTCTGCATTATTTTCTGCAGGGATAAAATATATATGCAAGGTGTTGTAAGAAAAATGACAGTGATGCCTGGTTCCTTTAAGAAGTCTGTTTCTCTGCAGTACATCTTTTCATGTTTTTGTATGACCGGTTTAGTGACAGTCATTTCATTTAAGTTCACAGTGGCTTTGAGGCAGCTGTGGCACTGTTGCACTAATTCCTAAAGCCAGTGATTCCTTCTGTCAGCGAGAAGTGATTGTATGACACAGATAATGTTTGTTAGATTGAACATTCAAACCTGGGTTTGAATATAATCGATGAATACTATGTTATTTCACATAACTAGATCTACTCTGTCAGTCATACCCAGTGGGAGACTAAACAGGCATTACCCATGCCAAACTGTTTTACACGTCATGACTGACAGCACAAACATGTAATTTAGTGTTCAGTTTTCATGAGCTCTTCTTTGTGGATTCTACAGTATCCTACAGGACATGAAGCGAAAAATCACCAGGGTGAAGGATTACCATGGCAACCTCATGGAGACATTAAGTGACATGTTGGCTGAGCATTTCCCTCTTCCCAATCAGCAAGCAGTCGGAGCCAAGAAAAAGAGGGTGAGCTGTCTCTCTGTACTCAGTAGACCTTTCATTGTAGACAGTCAATGTAGGTAACTGGCCAGATTAAGTTTTACTGTAATATGATCATGAGTCATCACATTTGTTCATTTGTTTAATTGTATTTAAGAATTCATTTGTCAGGGACAGCTTCCATTAATAATGAGTATTGGCAGAAATGAAAATGGGCCCAAGAAGTTAATTTCATCCATTGTCCCTGAAAAAATATTAAAGGCCACCCTAAATACCTTGCCTTTAAAAGAAATTAATACTCACTTACAACATACCATATATAACAACACATTATAGAGTTCCTGCAGATCCTTAAAACAATTATAAACTCTTAAAATAGATTTGAAAAATTTGAGGTTATAAAATTTCTGAAAATGTCTTATTTTTATCTATAAAAGCTATATTTATATTTTTTTTATCTACTAGAGTTATATGTTTAAGGGTGTCAAGGCATCTTTTAATGATTTGCTGTCTTGTGCTGGAATTTGTATTATTTTGCCATATTGAGGTCTAAAAAGTGGGCATTAAATGTATTGAAATAATTTAATTTGATTTTAAACACAAAATGTTCCATAACCTTTCCATAGGTCACATTTTATGTTAAATGTAATGTTAAAGTAACATATGTTAAATTCAGCAAATAAACACACACTGTGCATTAAAATGTGCAGAAGTATGTTCTTTGTAGAGAATGTGTATTTATTTTCACTTAGAAGAAAGTCAACAAAGCAGCCCATTTGACCAAAGGTCCTGAAACTTTTGCATACAAGTGGTGTGTAGTGTAATACAGTCATAATATAATTGCATTACTAGTAATTTGTTCAGAAATGTGACATGGACAGGGTCCACAGACAAACATACTTAAGCATATTGTTACCGTCAGAAGAAAACCTCGCATCTCCAGAATGGTAAATTTACAGGAAAGGGACAAAACATACTTTACTTTCAATGTAAGTCAATGGAACCAGACTTTTTTCCAAGTCATTTTGGGCCATTTCTTTTGGTCCATTCATCATAAAATTTACAAACATTGTAAAGGGCAACAGGCATTTTCAAATTATGTCAAAAACTGAAAAACAACAAAAATGGAGATACAAGGTTTTCAGTCAAGATTAGTATAGATGTACATATAAATGGCTATACAGGCAAAGCATTCAGGTAATACTACATCACATTCAACACTGAGGGGCGGACTAAACATGACAAGACCAGACAAAAAGTTAACAAGTCAACATAATAAAGATTGTAATGGGTACAAATCTGACTTGCATTGATAGTCCAGTGCAAACAATATTCACATCATTTTAGAGATTTATTAATTTAAAATCAGACTGGGGAAACTAATTTGAGCCTGATGCTACAATGTTTCTGCAGCATCACTGCATGCTTTGTTTTTCTTCTGCAGGGCACTGTCCCAGATTCTGGTGCAGACCTTATCTCACTGAGTGAGATTCTTGAGGTTTGTCTGAGTGTCTTCATTCATGGTTTTGAACCTAAGATATTGCACAACAGCATGTAGTTGTATGTAGTAGTGTGCTCTTGTCACCTGTCAATCATTCATTTGTATATTCTTCTCATACAGCAGTTAACAAACAAAACATTGGAGACTCCTCATGAGCCCTATGTGGCTCTCGATGACTCCTTCTGGCCACCGTACGTAGAGATGCTTCTTCGTAATGGCATTGCTGTCAGGCACCCAGAAGACTGCAATAAAATCCGACTGGAAAATTTTTATTGAAACAGAAACTTGTAAGTAAACTTAGTAGAAGAGATTTCATGGATCTTTCTAAGGAAACATTCTGTACAGACTTTGTTTTTTCCCATGTTTTATTCAAGTGTATTTAAAATAAGAAATCAGTTTGTTAAATAAAATGGTTCACAGTAAGAGGGCTTATGTCAGTGATTCATGTCCTGATGTTTCTCTGTGTTGCTGTTTCATTGTGAGGTAATGTGAGAACTTGGGTTAAAGAACAACAGAATTGAGAATTAATACAGAATTAAATTAAATAAGTTCAGTTTAAGCTCTTTTCAGATACTATTTAAGAGATACAAGATGCAAAGGCTTGAAGCAAGCGAAAGGGCAGAGTAAACATTAAACAATCTTTGTTAATCCACTCCCCATTATGTATTTAACTAGTATGTTACTACACTGGCCTCTAGTGGTAGGAGTACAGAGTGCAAAGAAGGTATTGAATTGCTAGAATTTAGAGCGTTTCAACTAGTTGATGGATGAAAGAGCTTTTGGCCAAGACTTATATCATTATCTTGTATCCTGGATGTTATAATAACATATTAAAAATAAATAAATAAACTGATTAAATTACATTTTAGGCCGAAACTTTATGACAAAACAATGACAGACACCAAGCAGTGCATTCATAACAAATTTTATATAATAACTTTCTTTGATGGAGCTTTTAGAGATGGACATCTGGTTCCTATCACCACCACTGTGAACAATTCTGACTCGGTACGTTTCTCTATTCATTTCACACCAAACCACTCTAAACAACTTTTTTTTTACATCCTAAACATTTAATTATGCAGAAATTTTGAAAAATGAGTGCAAAAATCAGCAGATTTAAAAGTTTGTGTGTGTGTGTGTGTGTATATATATATATATATATATATATATATATATATATATATATATATATATATTTATAGAATGCCCTCTTTTTTTTGCTACATTCATAAATGGGTGGGGCTGAACTACTGATGGCTGAATAGGTAGATATATGTAAATACAGGGGTGCCAAACGTCTAACATCCTGCACAGTTGAGCTCCATTCCTAATCAACCCTTTACCAAATATGGCTGTGCACTTACACAGTAGTCCTTAACTGTTTTGTTCCTAGTTGCCTGCAGTCCTATGACAGTCGGCGACTGCAAACATCTGACTGAAAGCCCATTGTATTGACCCAGCTTCCAGTCAAAGATGTTTACAAGCTCCCCACTGCCAGTCAACTCTCTTCTCTGTATTCTGCTATCCGGAAGTGCAGCAACGTCGCTGGGTCTGGTGTTTGAAACGAGAAGTGGTTAGTAGTGATCTGATACTTGCCGAGGCACTGTCCACTATTGGCTTTCATAGCAGTCTATTGTAGACAATTGCTGTCTTTCTGGTTTCACCCCTTGCGAATTATTCTGCCTCTGATGCAAGGTATTCTATGGCCACTCACCTCTAAGTGAAACTGTCCTTGACAGCCTACCAACATACAATGTATAGCAGGGTTGCATAATATATAGTACGGGCCAAGTGTTGAATCTGGACAGTATAATTTAAGCTGTGAGACACTGATAAACATTGATTTAGGTAATCAATCGTAAATAAGGTACTCAGATTGTTGTAGGACCTCCAGTAGTATACAGCTGCTTGTAGACACCTGTTCATCCAGCATTCCTGCTGAAATCAAGAGTCTTAATAAGGGTAATAATTTGCTTTAGTAACAATTTCTACTCTTCTGGGAAGACTTTACATCAGATGGTGAAACATTGCTGTGAGGGTTTTATTGTATTCAGCCATAAGAGCATTAGTGAGGTCAGGTACTGATGTTGGATGATCAGTTCTGTATCACTTCAATGTACCTGAAAAGGGTACTACTGGGGACTACTTTGGTCTTACAGTGTGCTTGCATGTACCTCGGTGCCATTAACTGACTTCATAAAATACATTTTTATCCAAAACCCTATGTGAAAACTATCATAAAAGAATGTCTTGGGCATCAGGTAGTCGTTTTATGAAATAGCTTACTGTGAAGAAGCACTAAACTCTTCAGATGTTTGGTTCCCATCACCACCAATGTGAAAATTCTCAGATGCATTTCTCTACAACAGAGCATCTCACATCAAACTACTCTGAATGACTTAATCTAAGTATTAACCGTTAAAACGTAAAGAAATTTTGAAAACATTGGTGGAATTCCCCTTTAAGGACAGAACACGCCATGTCTTCTCGTCCCCACAAGAGGGAGCTGAGGACTTTCCCTTCACGAAACGTCTCACTTGCCCTTGATATGTAAAAACATCTCTAACAAATCGGTCCTGCATGGAAATTCCACCTATGACATTTTATTTCCAAATTCTGTTACGTCATAATTGTGTTATTTATGACGTCAGTCAAGATGAGATCATCATTCCTGCTCGTGCATGCAATAATAAACAGGAGGGATCGCGTTGGGTCACTCTTTAGTCACTAACAACTTTCTCTCCTCCCTCAAGACAGTTTCAGGAGGGAAAAGAGCTTCTCATATTATCTCTAAAGTCCATTCAAGGCAGTAGTTTAGCCTGAATTGTATAATAACGTGACTCAATGCGCTCATTCTCGCTTTACTCGCGGAATGCCAATGCCAATCAGCGCATGCGCAGTACGAGCAAAGTGGTAGATTTACTGAAACACATTTTTAAATAGGTGAAAGAGGCTAAGCGCTAGAAAAGCGTTTCATACGGAGACTGCCTGGCTGTTTTAATGTGTAGTAATGAGACCGCACTCACCTGCTCGGGCCGACCCATATAAACTGATAAGATCCGTTCCAGATGAGCTGGGGGTTTGACTTTCACCTCGCGTGTCCTTTAGTATTTGTGAGGCTCGCGCTGCGCTTCGACCAATGGGCGATCAGCTCGCTCACATCAATGGAGCAGACCTCGGGCACGTGCTCACGGGCATGCGCGCACCTGTACTGACCTTCATAATCCCTTCCTCAGTCTTTTTTCCCCTTTCCTTTCTTCCCCTTCTTCTTTTATCTGTACTTGTTCTATTTGCACACGTTTTGAGAAGCACTTTAACCCATTCAAGTCCAACTAAGTGTAGTAATGATGAGAGAGACCTTGTGCTGATTGGTCTGCAGTGATGATGTTTGGTTTGTTCATACCTTGGAAGAACATCTAACAGTGACCACTTGAGTTTCATCCTGTTATTCACAATTAAATCACAATTAAATCACAGATGATAAATTAAGTATTAACAGTGAGTCTGAACAGCTTCTATTCTTCTGAGAAGGCTTAGATGTTGGAACATTGCTGTGAGGATCTGATTGCGTTCAGCCACAAGAGCATTAGTGAGGTTTGGGTGATGTTTTGGATCACTCCAGCTCACCCCTGAGGGACTGGATGGAGTTCCATCACTCCAGAGAACACAGTTCCACTGCTCCACAGCCTAATGCTGGAGGGCTTTAGACCCTTCTAATCAACGCTTGGCGCTGGGCATGGTGATCTTAAGCTCTTGTGTGAGCAGTGCTTTTCTACAGAGATTATACAAGCTGTATATGCACAGTTGAAAGCCTGTCAGCATTCTGTGCAGTTACCAGTGTTTAAATACTTTTGGACATATACTGCATATGATAGTGGCTGACTCTGAGGCTCCAGGACCTGTTGTGAAGTTAAACACTAGAAACAGGTGACTCACCTGACGCAGTGGGAAAGAACACACCTGTGCTGGCGTTTGTGCCGTTGGATAGTCTATTGAAGACTGCTGGCTGTTCATTTACCTTTCGAACAGACATGCTGGAGGACAACGCTTTAGAACTAAACACTCATTCTAGGGATGATTTATATTGATTAAATTCTATATCAGGATATTGTTTAAATATAAAGTTAATGAACTCATTCCTCCTGAGCACTACTCTAGCCTAAACATGTCTTATAAACCTGACATAGCTTGGTTTGACTGGGCTGTTTTGTTCTGTTTTCTTCTTTTAAAGTTACACTAAAGGAAATCATATACAGTATTATAAACATTGACCAGACACAAAACATATTTCCAGAAAGGACACAGACTGTTTATTTATTTCTTTGTGTTTTAAGCTGTTCATTCCAAATCATGTTAAGCACCTGTTACAGCAGCTGTCAGGTCTTGGGTATTATGAGTAAAGCAGACAAAATAGACCAAAAAAAAAAACTAAAAACAAACTGCTTGGTAACAGGAGCGCACTTATTTTATGGACATATAAGACATATAATGACATATAATGTTGTATGTATATATAATGGATCTAATGCTCAGTATCTGTCCAATATATCACAAAAATATGGAAAGAACTGAAAAGAAATACCTTGATATGTAAATATGATATGTCAACATCACCTGTGCATAGAGTAAATATACAGTATATAGCAGTGCTGTTCAAAGTTTGAGGACGTTTGATTTGGCTTGCCAGAGGGTTACTCTCACCTCTCCCTCCAACTACTTAGAGAATAAACTTTCATTTTTATATATGTAACTTAAATTCTTATTTTTCTTTTAAAATTGCATTTTTTAAAACTCAATTTAAAACCCACTTTCTGTATTTGTATACCGTTTTGTCTTTTTGGAACTCGGCACACACATTGTACGTTGGCAAAACAGAGAAGCTTGTGCACCCCTGGTATACGGTATATGGAGCATTCTACCAAATTAGCTCCAACTGTGGTCCTGTATTTTTACAGATATTTACAAGGATGATGTTATGATCCATTTAAACCCAAGGCTTTAATATAGATAGTAATACACCGATCAGGCATAACATTATGCCTTGTTTCTATGCTCATTGTCCATTTTATCAGCTCCTCTTACTACATAGGTGCACTTTGTAGTTCTACAATTACAGACTGTAGTCCATCTGTTTCTCTGCATACTTTGTTAGCTCCCTTTTACCCTGTTCTTCAGTGGTCAGGACCCCCATGGACCCTCACAGAGCAGGTACTATTTGGGTGGTGGATCATTCTCAGCACTGCAGTAACACTGACGTGGTGGTGGTGTGTTAGAGTGTGTTGCGTTGGTCTGAGTGAATCAGACACAGCAGTGCTGCTGGAGTTTTTAAACACCTCAGTGTCACTGCTGGACTGAGAATAGTCCACTAACCAAAAACATCCAGGCAACAGCGTCCTGTGGGCAGCGTCCTGTGACCACTGATGAAGGACTAGAGGATGACCAACACAAACTGTGCAGCAGCAGATGAGCTATCGTCTCTGACTTTACATCTACAAGGTGGACTGACAAGGTAGGAGTGTCTAATAGAGTGGACAGTGAGTGGACACAGTGTTTAAAAACTCCAGCAGCACTGTTGTGTCTGATCCACTCGTACCAGCACAACACACTCTAACACACCACCACCACGTCAGCGTTACTGCAGTGCTGAGAATGATCCACCACCCAAATAATACCTGGTGCTCCTGTAGGGGTCCCAACCACTGAGGAAGAAGGTAAAAGGGGGCTAACAAAGTATGCAGAGAAACAGATGGACTACAGTCTGTAACTGTAGAACTACAAAGTGCACCTATATAGTAAGTGGAGCTGATAAAATGGACAATGAGCGACAATGATACCTAAATATATACAAATCCTCATTTATAAAGAACTTTCTGTTGGGAGGTGTCTGTGTCACATGCTAACCCCTAAATTTTAGCTTGTGAAAATAGTATTTACATACTTTTTTTGATTTTGTTTTGTTTCTTTGAACTGAAGTTGAAAGATTTAGATTCATCATTAGTTTAATTTTTTTTTAAAAATGCTGTCCAACGTTGTCCTATCACTACTGAAACACAAAGAGTTTTAATTCAAGGGCAGAGCCTTATTTTAGCCACACCCCTGCATTTTAGAGTGAGACTACATCCATGTCCCCCGTGGCCACATGGTGAGCAGTTAAAGCCCAGTGTTTTGTAGTAAATGTGTGCGAAAGTTTGACAATCAGTGTGTAACTTTAAGAATTGTCACTACCGAAACACAATTTCTGCAATTATATAAACTTTCGTGTTTTTTTTTATATTATTTTATTTATTATTTTATTTTATTATATCATTAATATTATCATTTTATAGCTTTGAACAGTTGCACAAACGTTTGCTAGTCCTGTACTAGCGAGTGTTTTTGAGTTCCGCTTAAAATGAGTTAAAACATTCACGACCAAAACATTTGGTAAAGTTTTGATCGTGTTATGAATGTTTGACAGTGACAAAATACAATGTTCAGTTATTTAATAAACTAATCCAAGTCAATCCCACTCAGTTAAAAGTCTGATTGTGTTTTCAACTTTGAATTTAAACCAATTTGGCAAAATGATCCATATAACAGTGTATATATTACCCAGTCTTATCTTAAGCTCTCTCTCTCCTCCTCCTCCTCCTCCTCCTCCTCCTCACTTTTTTCAGTTTCTAACGGTTCATTTTCATTCATTTAGTTTGATTTTGTTCTAGTTTACTGTTTGTGTTATTATATTCACATCACTTGTTTATCATTATTGTTGTTATTATTATTATTATCATTATTATTATTATTATTATTATTATTATTATTATTTTAATAAAATATTAAAAATGAAAGAGAAATGCCTGACTGATGACCATGTGTTGCTCCTCATTCTGTTTCTTAGACCACATCTACTCAATGCAGGACTTTCATAGAACATCTTTCTGACGACTCCAGTGTTCATATCAGATTTAGAAACTCGATCACAGTTTCAGGCTGCAATGCGCGTTTTCGACCACTAGATGGCAGATATATTCCGTTTGAACCTGCTGTAACTGAGAGGCCATCCTGTAGTAGTTTAACAGCAATTCATATATTCTAAACTATACTCAACAAATTTATTTTTGTAGTTCTTTTCAACGTTCTTAAAAATACAGTTTGTAGTTTGATTAAGTGTAAAATGAATTAGGTGCGTTCTGTTTAATGGTCAGAACCTTCGGATCTTTGTTTACAGTTTTCTGCCTTTTTAAAAAAGAAATTCAGTAGTTCGGTTTAAATATAATACAAGCCTGCAATGTCTTAGTTGGCAACGTTAGTTAATGTGCTGCTATGACACATGTAAAAGCTATTTTAGTCAGGATTCAGTATTAGTTACATGTTTTAGCGTGTGAAGTCGACGAAACATGTCTTAAATATGTCTGTATGTCCAGTTAAAGATTCTGTTGTTTTGGTTTTATAATGGTTTCACCTTCTGAGGTGACGCTCATCAGATGAGCTGTGCCTTTAGCAGGTCGCTGTCCGCGGTGCTGAAACCAGCATTAAAGGGGAAGTCCACCGGCTTTCAAACACTTTCCACAATTCAGTAGTTCAGATAGTCATTCCGCGTTCGTTGTGTAATGGTTTATCGTAGAGAAGCTTACAGACTCAGATTTCTTTACAGTGGTGCTGACAGGAACCAGAGGTCGTGAAGTCTACAACACAAAAATAGCCTCTTTATTTACCATCCGAAACCAGCAGTGAACCTTCAGAGCTTTTATATGTGATGTTGACAGGCAGTAAATCCAAGAAAGGGAGTATCTTACTGTTTAACCGTACAGTGACCTACCACTCCCTTCATGAAATGTATGGCATTTTAGGCTAAAACGGTGTCGTGGAACTATTGCAAAACAATGTCTGTAGGTTTCTCTCGAACAGAGCATTTGACTGGGTTTGCATTTTAACCAGGAAATTATACAGAATGTTATGCTATAAATAATAGTTCATTTTACATGTTATGAATTCAGAAGCAGAACCCTCTGAACGCTTATGGAGAAAGGGTTGTATGTGGTTCTTTAAAGAGCCGAAATGGTTCTATAGTAGCAAAAACAAGGTGTGTTGTTTCTTAGTGTACGGAGCTCTTTTTGATAAGAGTGTAGCTATAACGGTCAGGAGCTTCATCGACCAAACACTTAAATGGACGGTTCTTTAGTAAAGACAATGGTTCTATATAGAACCATAATTACATGGTTCTTTGCATCGTGAAAGGTTCTTCAGATTTAAGGAGAATGCACTGTATATAGTTCTATATAGAACCTTTTTAAAAAGGGTTCTATATAGCACTAAAAAATTCTGGTGTTACAAGCTTGACATCGTAACAATATAAGAACCATGTTTGGTACTATATAGAACCCTTTTCAGAATGGTTCCATAAAGAACCATCTACAGCACATTCTCTAACAATCTGAAGAACCATTTCACCATGCAAAGAACCATTTAAGCGCTTTTATGTATGTATGTATGTGAAATGCCTCTTTGGTTGAACATTTAAAAAACGTTTTTTGTACTTTGTAACGTGTTTAAGTTGTACACTTTGATTTTATTAGCATTTATTATTGGGGGAAACCCAAGTAAGATGTCGCCCCCCAAATATTGAGAAAGGGTGTGTATATATATATATATATATATATATATATATATATATATATATATATAGTATATATATACACCCTTTCTCAATATATATGTATGTATGTTTGTATGTATGTTATAAACTGGTACAGAGTCAGTAGTTGTGATGAGGGTCTCTTTTTGGAGAGGGGGTCTTTAATGCAGTGGGCTCGTCTGTAGAATCCTTGTTTTTCCAGCGGGCTGAAATAGCCGTATTGATTTGGTCTAAAATATCTCTCTGGCTTGTCGAGGCCCGTTTAACTACGCGACGCCAAAAATAGCCCGTGGTCGTGAGCGCGCATTTAAAGCAAGGCATCGTGAGCGCGCGCGCGCGCGCGCGGGCGGGCAGGCAGGCGAGCGCGTGCGTGAAGGTGCGCCCCAGCGAGCTGTGGGAAAAGTGAAAGGGAGGAAGAGAGAGACAGATGTCTCGCAACGGCCTGCCTATGCGACTCGCCCATTTCTCTCTCTCTCCCTTCCTCCATCCCTCCATCCCTCCCTCCGACAAAAGGAGGCGCGTGTCCGTTTTAAAGGGAGATCCACCACGTTCCCATTGACGGTTCAGAAGCCGGCGCGCTTACAGAAGGCTTAGAGAGAGAGAGAAAGAGAGAGAGAGGTAGAACCAGGGATCTCGACACGAACTCCGCCTTCATCCACCGTCCAGCACCGAGCAAGCGAGAGGGGAGTCCGCTGGACGCGCACATCACGGGGTTCGCCAGATGATGCTGGAGTCCCGCTCCTGGCGTCGTTCGACGTCTGTTGGCGTGTAAAGATGGGCTTCCCGTAACCGGAGGTGGTGGAGGGGAGAGGCGGGAAAGGCGGGGGGTTGGGGGTGGGGGGTGAGAGAGAGAGAGAGAGAGAGAGAGAGAGAGAGAGAGAGAGAGAGAGAGAGAGAGAGAACAACGCCGACCGAGAGACAAAAGCTCCTCAATTGTGGGCGCCTGCAACCATGAGAGCGGGCTCGCAGAGAACGAGCACCATGCCCTGAGGTGTGGTCCCCAAGCCCAACGCTGCCAGTAAGACGGTAGACGCGCCAAGGAAAGGGGAAAAAGGCAGTGGCAGGGGTGGGGGGGCCGAAAGATGTCCGCTTCGGTAGGGCCCCAAGGCGGCCCTCGCCCACCCACGGCGCCGGCGTCCATGCCAGACATGCCGGACTTGAGTCACCTCACGGAGGAAGAGCGGAAGATCATCATGGCCGTGATGGCTCGCCAAAGGGAGGAAGAGGAGAAGGAGCAAGCCATGTTGAAGTAAGGCTGGATAGATTTCCCTTCACAGACACGCGCACACATCATACACGCCCATTCACAAGTCCAGAGTCCAGGGAAAAGCCCCGGAGCCTCAGCCTTCCGCGGTCGCGCCTTTTCATCAGGGTGGCATCGTGACATACAGTAGCGTCTCGAGCAGTCTTGGTGGCTTCATGTATGGTTTGGATTGACGGCACATCCTCGAGGGGAGCACCATGGTTCTGGGTTCTGATAGAAGATAGAAGCGTTGGTGCATGTATCAGTGTGGTGGGCGGCTGAGCGAGAGAATGGGGTCAGGCGGGTTGGGTGGACCGTGGAGAATTGGGGTGTGCCATACAGGAGGCTGAGGATGAATCATACTCCTACAGCGTGCCACCCCTATACAACCCCCTCCCCACACCACCTACACCCACCCACAGCTCCTACAGGGGGGTTTACGGTTGTTCCTCAACCCGCAGTTTCATACTACCGACCCCAGAACACGAGGCGAGCAGTGCAGCCGTGCTTGTCCATCCACTCCTAATACCGGCATTAGCGACCACCGGGAAGTGCAGCCTGTGCTTCCAGAGCCGTTTGGCGCCGGGGTGTGGTTGAGTGGTCGGCTCACTGTTTCAAACGAGGCTGTCAGTAAGAGACAGACACGCCAGGGTGAATAAGCGCTGGTCACATCTGGTCTACAGTGCTAACTGTATGTAGGTTCTGAGCTCTTTCTGTCTGTTTAATGCATTCGCGGCCATGACGTTTCATGTCGTCCTCACCTCTCGCACTTGTCACAGTCAAACGGAAATGACGAGATAGCAAAACCCAGCCGAGGTTATGCAATTTTTCTTTTCTTTTTTTTTATCCCAGCCCTCTGTGTGACGACTATCTTGCGAGGAAATTCAGAGCATCGTCCAAAGAGACGATTGAGTCATAGCCCATTTCTGTGTCACGACTCAGAGTTCTAGTTTTTAAAGTGCTGGGGCCATGGGGGGATTTCAGGAGCTGACAGGGTCTTTCACACCACATTTTATAACTATCCTCTACGACCTGCTATTCAGAACGCTAGTAGTTGTGATCACTGATCTTATCATATAATAATGGTTTCAATTTATATGATAAGGCTGGACTTTGAGGGAAAAAGACAACATTCACATGTAATTCTAAGCTTGTTGACCTTAACTGAGTGCTGTAATAGGACTGAGTTCAAATGTGGTAGTTTATACACTCTCAGAAATAAAGATACTAAACTGTCTCTGGGGCAGTACCCCTCTTCTCACTGGTGTGGGACCCTCAAGGGTACATGTCAGTACCTTTAGTCAGGGAACATAACTGTACAATGCATTGAAATTATATTTTCTAATTTGTACTGACTCCACACACCCCGTCTCGTCTCCAGACTTTTATTTTGTTGTTCTGTTTTAAAACTTTAGGTTATAAAAAAGGTACAAATATAAACTTTTTACCTGGAAAAACTTATTTAAGGTTCACAGTTGGACCTTAAAACCACTGTTGTACCTTTGAAGGGACATTTACATTGTTTGTATCTTGATGAACGAAAAATGTACCTGTACACAACCTTTATTTCTAAAAGTGTCTTCCAGTTGTAGAAAAAAAAAAATCCTAATTGGTGGTGAACTTTTACATTATGATGAATGTTTCTAAATGGTTCTTGGCTTTGGTGTGCATTTCTAAGAAAAACCTCTTTGTATTATATTGAAGGTTCTTAAGGTTCTTGGCTTGGAGATGCAGTTTAGAAACACATCTTGACATAATGCTGGAAGATCCTTAATAGTTCTTGATAAAGGACTGCAGTTCTAGGGGACAAAAAATATAATTGGTGTAGAATCTCTACATTTTGTTGAAGGTTCCTAAATCATTCTTGGCCTGGACATCACAGTTCTAGGAAGAATTCTGTACATTATATTGAATGTTCCTAAATGCATCTTTGCTTGGATGTGCAGTTCTAGGTAAAATGTCCAGTTGTCTAGAAAATTCACATTTTGTCGAAGGTTCCTAAATGGTTTTTGGCATGGACTTACAGTTCCACAAAAAAATGTGTAATTGGCATAGAATCTTTACATTATGTTGAAGGTTTCTAAATGGCTCTTGGCTTGGATGTCCAGTTGTCTAGAACATTTACATTTTGTTGTAGGTTCCTAAATGGTTCTTTGCTTGGACATACAGTTTTAAGAAAAATACCTATTTGGTGTAGAACCTTTGCATTATGATGAAAGTTGCTAACTGGTTCTTGACTTGGACATCCAGTTGTCTAGAACATTTACATTTTGTTGAGGGTTCCTAAATGGTTCTTTGCTTGGACATACAGTTTTGAGAAAAAGACCTATTTGGTGTAGAACTTTTACATTATGATGAAAGTTGCTAAATGGTTCTTGGCTTGGACTTCCAGTTGTCTAGAACATTTACATTTTGTTGAAGGTTCCTAAATGGTTCTTTGCTCAGACATACTGTTCTAAGAAAAATACCTATTTGGTGTAGAACCTTTGCATTATGTTGAAAGTTGCTCAAAGGTTCTTGGCTTGGATGTACAGTTCAAGGAAAAAATTCTCTACAGTGTTTCGAAAGTTCTTAAACGGTTCTTGGTTTGGACCTGTGGTTTGAGGAAAACCTCGTAATTGGTGTAGAATCTTCTTGGCTTTGACATGTAGTTCAGGTAAAAACATTATGTTTTTACATTATGTTGAAGATTCCTAAGTGGTTCTTGGCTTGGATGAACTGTTATAAGAAAAACCTTTAAATGGTATAGAGCTTTTACATTATATGGAGGTTCTTAAAACTTTAAAAAGCTTCTTCATGCTTGTACATGTCATTTGTAAAGGTGGTCCAAAAGTGGTTCTTTTGTGGAATCGGCCCAAAGAACTCTTTTTGAAGGCATTATTTTTTAAACTGTTGTCCTTGTCACTGTGGTCCACAGTGAAAAGACAATGCTTGCCAGAATAAAGAACATGTAGGAGGTTAAACCTTCCCAACAATAGTCCATTGTTTTAGTGCGTCTTGTGGCTTAGAGATGGACAGTTGTGATTCTTCTCAAAGAGAGGCATTGGAATATTTTGCTAATTGATTGTCATTCTATAGAAGCACTGAACAAATGTTCTATTGATTCAGGTTAGTTTTGTGCACTTTGGAGAAATACATTGATGGATCCTTGGTTGCAAGTAGTTGGATATCAGTGTTGGATATCAGCTTTGCACAGACACTGTAGGCCATTACAACCAGCTACTCCAGTTTAAACACAGAACTGTAGTAAATCCACATAAAGCTTCTGTGGATAAGTCACCCTAGTTAAATAAATACTAAAAGACATTTAAAAGACATTTATTTGAGAGGGAATGACTGAGTCACTAAGCAATAGGTTCTAGTTTTAGAAGTGCTGTTGCCTATATAAGCAGTGGTGTAGTAACCGAAGATTTTGTCCAGTATGTCCAATCTTTAGATCTGCTGATCATTTGTAGATGAGCACACGACTGCCGCTAATTGACTTCACTGGAAAATTAGTTGTCACTCTATAACATTTATCAATTTCACTCCTACACTGAACAGTTTAGTGTAATAAATCTGATTCAGGATCATCTCCTCCAAGTAGAGTCAATATTGTAATAATAAAAAGCTTAAAGTGATGGTTTGACCTCAAATTTACACCATTTTTCCCTTATATCAAAAGTAGTCAATCGGTCAAGATATGTTTAGTATTTGTTTCTTTAGTTTTGAACTGAAGCTATGAAGCTAATGTAGCTAACAAGTAGTAGATGGTCATAGGCATCAGTTTAGCATAGTGCTAACTCCTCAAACTGTTGAGTTGTACAGTAACCTCAAATAGACTTGATTGTATGGTTTCTGACACTAAATTACACACTGTTATCTATAAAAAATGACTGAAGTAGCTAAAATCGCTAAAACATTAGCAGCACCCATCTGGAAGCCTGTATTTTGTCTGTTATTTTGTCTATTTTCATTGATATCAGTGTGTTACACAGTGCCAGAAACCACATAAGCAAATTTATTTGACATCACTTAACAGCTTAACACAGCTTGAAGCAAGTGTGTGATGACTGACATGCAGTTTGCATAATGCTAAAAACTGCACTAGCCTCACTGCTCCAGTGCTAAACTAAAGAGGGAAACTTCAGATGCCAAATATGTCTTGGCTAAGTGGCTAATCTAGGGGTGAATGGGTTTGTTACTGAGAACAGACCAGCTGGGAGAGATAAACCAATAAGGTTCAATAATATTGTCTATGATGTGTGTGTTAGACCTCAGCCTTGGGCACAACTTAAGGGCTAATCATTACTGAAGAGAGGAGGAAATATAGAAGGTCTGTGTGAGAGTAGCACCTGCTCAGGCAACGTGTACAAAGGCGGACAAACATGCTAGTGGCTACGTAAACAGTAACAGAACAGAAAGTCCCTCACAGTTCTCAGAGTGAGGCTAGCTTGACTATCGTTGACTGTTTTAAGTTGTCTTGCGTTGTAATAGACCTCTGAAGTCATGCCTCATTGTGTAGTCAGCATCAAGGCCATATTGACCAGATATGTTTTGTCCTTCATACATTTTCCCCCAGAATGTCACTGGATCCTTTGGATTATGAGGTTTAGCAGTCAAAATACAAATAATGCTACATGTGTGCTACAAACAACCTACCAGTCCTGCACACTGAGATGATGTTGGATGAAAGTAATTCTACTTTTAAATTTCAACACCAGCTACTCAAACTGTTGGCTGCTACTGCCAAAGCAACCACCCTGTTCGAGAAACCTTGCTGGGTGCACAGCTATAAGGACCATAAAACTAATCGAGTTGGCTCATGAAGGGCTTTTAATTTCTTGTTGAGGTGAATCAGGTGTGAAAACATCTATCGCAGGGAACAGCAACCCAAATGTTTTCTGTCCTTTCAACAAAAATCAATCCGCCTTGGGAGCCACAACATTTTATGTCCATTTATTGAAGAAATGTTCTACCATTTTGGCTGTAAATGTGTCCCAGTATGTGCTAGTGTAGGCTAAAAA